TCAGGTTTCTGTCATTTGCTACTAGCCACGGATCCCAACAGGTGAGCCTACTGAGGAGAGGCGACCAGTCAGGTTTCTGTCATTTGCTACTAGCCGTGAGCTGGGCCTATTTCTTAGGTCAATTATGAATAACTTAGAGTTATGCTCTTAACAGGTAGTTCTGCACTTGCATGCAGTAAGTGTTCTTGTGGGCCTGCATGCAGAGTTATCAGGAATCTTCTTGTGACTGTTTTTTAGGAATAAATGTTATAAGACTGAAATGTTCAGATCTGGAAACTTTAAATAACTCGACATATATATTAAGTACTCTACTAGATGTGATACAGTGTACAGAGGAAGTTGGTAAAGTTAGTTTCTAATATTTTGTAATCGTGGTTCCTTGTGGATCGTCTATGGTCTAGACTAGGGCGGGCCCACTGCAGCGTTTGACCTTGGTAATTTTGGCCATCTTGATACAGGGGAGGCATCAACAATTGAGTTATGGAGGAATTTTTCTCTGACAGGTGAACCGTATTTCATTTTATTCATTGAATATATTCTTGAATGTGCCTTGACAGGACTCAGTCGTTGACTTACAGTTCACCCACTTGTAGTTGATAATTATAAAGGTTTAAGTGTTGGAACTTCCTGGTGGTTGTTGTTGAATACAGGTTTTCATCAGGGGCTCCTTTTTTACTTTTTTGTCATGTCTTATCCCTCCTCTTTAAAGCTGATATGGGAATTTAACAAATTTAGTTCTGTAGAAATGATTTGTCTGAAGAACTCAATCCTCCTTTCTCTGCCCCGCAAATAAACACTGGCAGAATCAGGTTTAGGCCTTTTTCTTCAGAAACTTTAATTTTCTAGCAGAGTGGGCAGCACGATAAAGTTGAAGTGCTGTTAATTAGACAGTCTTGAAATAATAGCAGTGATTATTTGGATTCTTAGCCACTGACTACCCATTATTTCAGATTTTAAGAATTTATTTTAAAGTAGAAGCTTAATTCATCAAACATTTATTGAGTACTTTGTTAAGCTTGGACAAAATAAAAATTGAACATTGCCTGTAAGGTTTAGCTATAAACAAACTTTGGATTAAAAAACTGCAAAGGTTAGGGGGACATTGAAACAGACCTTATTTCTTTTTTTAAGATTTATTTATACATACAGAACTGAGGTACAGCCAGAGGTGCAGGGGTGGTGAGAGGATTCACCAGAGACAGAGTGGGGAGCAGAACAAGTCCACTGACAAAGTACATTACTGAGGGGAACAGTGAGCGGGTCAGGAGAGGTTTGTTGTGCCATGTGGACCACATCTGGGGCGGGGATTGAACTCATGCGGAAGTGGCCTCAGCCTCTTAGTGCTGTGCTTTAACCCACTGTGCCACCAGAGAGGGCCCAGACCTTATTTCTAGTAGTTACTTTTTTCTTTTGCTCTTCAGTGGACTAGATGAATCAATCTTAGAGGAATGTCTTCAGTATTTGGAAAAGCAGCTGGAAAGCAGCCAGGCTCGTAAAGCTATGGAGGAATTTTTCTCGGACAGGTGAGCCCTGCTTCATTTTGTTAACAGGGTAGCCCAGAGTGAAATTGGGGTACCTGTCTGTGGGTCCTCACCCACACGCTTAAAATTTAATGGTTCTGCAGACACACAAAAAAAGGGTAATGGGTTTATTTACAAAGAGGAGAAAGGAAAAGGAACAACCCAGTGAAAGAGAGGGATACAAAGTAACTGGAATATCTTACCAGCTTGGCACACTTGGAACTCTAGTCACAAACTAACTGTTAGCACCCAGTCATGTGGTCCCAAGAGCCGTTTCTGAGCGAGAGAGCCGTTACCACTTCAGAGCGACAGTTGAAAACCCGTTCTCTATTTATCCCCCAAAGTCCCAGAATGCCTGCCTAGCTCCGCCCTTGGATCCTCACAGTTCTCTCCCTGGTACTGCTGGGAGTTGTAGTTTCCAATCACTGGAGTAGGGGGTGGAAGCCAGAAAATTGGAGTAGGGGGTGGAGTCCACAAAACTCTGCAGAGTTCCTTTAGGACATCCTTCCCCTTAACAATTTGATCCATTGAATAGTTTCTTGAAAGCAACTAACTATGCATGTTGAATCTGGTGTTCTTCCTCAGGGCGCACTTAAGACCTGCTTAGGTGTTTGTGCCTTGTTAGGACTTAGGTTAGTTGGTGATTAGAAACTATTGATGAGGGGACTGATTTCATGAATACCTTTCTTTTTGTTGACTAGCGAATAACCAGTTCCTCTAGAGGTGATGAGATTTTGAGCAGAAGTGGATGCTTTTTATGTGAGGCCTAATATGATTCTCCCATTTCCCCCCCTCCTGCCTCCCAGTGGAGAACTTGTGCAGATCATGATGGCAACAGCCAATGAGAACCTCTCTGCTAAATTCTGTAACCGAGTTTTGAAATTCTTCACCAAACTCTTCCAGCTGAGTGAGTGACAGCTTTTAGTAATCTTCTTATGGGAACTTTGATGTCCAGCTAACACTGTGTGCATCCTCTGCCCACGTATAACTGCTGTGTGAAAACGCTAACAAGTGGAGAGAATCCCTCCAAGGAAGTTGGGAAGGAAGTTGAAAATGTGCTTGATGGCTTCCCCATTCCCGGCCCACAATTTGCACCTGCCTTCCTCTCCTTTGGTCCACCTTTACTGACCATAGTCTCTTGGTCTGTCCCTAGCTGAGAAGAGCCCTAACCCGAGCCTTCTGCATCTCTGTGGCTCTCTGGCACAGCTGGCTTGTGTAGAGCCCGTGCGTCTTCAGGCCTGGCTCACGCGCATGACCACCTCACCCCCCAAAGATTCCGATCAGCTGGATATGATTCAGGAGAACCGACAGCTGTTGCAGTCGTTGACGACATACATTGTTCGGGAAAACAGGTAGAACAGCTGCTTTCATGTGTTAGCCCTAGCAGTCCCAGAAATTGAGAGCACCTGGGGCTGTCTTTCCTTTAAGAGTCAGTCTTTGGCATTTTCAGCAATTCCCTGCTCCTCTTGCTAGATTCTGATGTTTTCCATAGAAAACGTTTGCAAAGACTTGACCTATTGGTTGCAACATGGATGAATGTTTTGTGCTGCAGTAGCCCTGGTTCAAACAAAACAGCATGTTTTTAGTGTTTAATAGGAGCCTTCTCTTTCTTGCTCTCACAAGGTTAGCAGTACAGAGACTCAGGTTCCTGTTGATCACTTCCCACCTTGCTGTTTCTTTTCTACCAGCCAAGTTGGAGAAGGCGTATGTGCTGTGCTTCTGGGCACCCTAATCCCCATGGCAACAGAGATGCTGGCCAACGGTGATGGGACTGGGTTCCCTGAACTCATGGTTGTGATGGCTACCCTGGCCAGCGCAGGTCAAGGCGCTGGCCATCTTCAGCTTCATAATGCTGCTGTGGACTGGCTGAGTAGATGGTAAGATGATGAACTTAAAAGGCCCCATGTGTAGGTACTGCATGAGTCTTCGTCACTCAGCATGTGTCTAAAGGTTACTTGAGTATTTTCACTGATTATGGAAGGAGTAGCCAACACCCCTATTCCCTAGACTTAATCTTCGTTATTATAGGATTCCCGTAGGGAAGTGTACCAAGGTTTAAGTGATGAGACTTGAGCAACACAAACCTCTGATTAGCTCTTAGTTTTATAGGAATGCCTTTACTTTATATTTTTCACAAATTGATATGAGGTTCATGAAGTTGCTTCCTTTTTTATTCTGGAGATGATTTTGTGTCTCCCGCCCCTCTGTTTTTTTCCTTTGGGACAGCAAGAAATACCTGTCACAGAAGAATGTGGTTGAAAAGCTGAACGCCAACGTAATGCATGGAAAGGTAAGACAAATGGAGAGTGAACAATTGTCTTTGGGGCAAGGTGCAGGTCTTCCTTCACGTTGGCTTCTGTCCCTGGCTTCACTCAGGTGGATAAGGTCTGTGATGTCAGAGACCCAGAAGTCTAATTTATTGCTCACTGCATGCTCTCAGGCCTTTCTGGGTATATGAAGAGTTAGGAAGGACATGTTTGGTAAACAGCCAACAGAACCCTTAAGACAGCGACTTCCTGCTATTCTGAGGTGCTGGTGCATGGTGGAACATTGCCCCCTCCTGCAGTGGATCTCTGCGTGGTGAGAAGGTATCGCCGGCCACTTTTGCAGCTCCAGTACTCAGGCTGAATTGTTTATTAGCTGAAGGTTCAAGACGCTATGCTGGCAAGGATTTAAAATGACTGAAATCTCGAAATCTTATATTTTCTCCACCTTCCCAGCTAATGACTGACACAGGTGGCTAAAGGCACATGGCAGACCTGTGACCTACCTCAGTACTGTTCACTTCTCCACCTTTCTTGCTAATTTTGATCTTCTCAGCACTGCACTGCCATAGCACAGTGTGAAGGAATTTAGGAGTCTGAGGCTTTGATACCAGACTGTTTTTGTTTTTTAGGCGTGAACTACCTGTGCAGCTTGCTGGAAATTTTGTGTCACTTAATAAAGTCTTTCCTTGGTAACGATTAGGAAATGTTAATGAGAGTCTACTCATACTTTTAATTAGTTTCTTTCCTTGAATGATCTTTGTTTCCATCTTTATTTTCCTGATTTTGGTTTTAGTCAATTGTAGAAGATTTGTGAAGAGTATTTTTCATGCTTTGAATGCATTCATACATACATACTCAGTGAAATTCTCTGACCAGCAACACATGGTCATAGTGCTAAAAGCTGGGGAAAAGGACACTAAAGCATGTTGCTTTCTTTTCTGCTCTTAGGCCTCTCCTGTGGTCTTGAGTTTTATCGGGAACAGTTTAAAGAGCTACGGTTTGTATAGTCAGATAGGGAGAACTGAAGTTCCCTGGCGGTCTTTTCTTACAGCATGTGGTCGTCTTGGAGTGCACGTGCCATATTATGTCTTACTTGGCTGATGTCACCAATGCCTTGAGCCAGAGTAATGGTCAAGGTCCAAGTCACCTCTCGGTGGATGGGGAAGAGCGGGCCATTGAGGTGGACTCAGACTGGGTGGAGGAGCTGGCAGTGGAGGAGGAAGACTCACAGGCCGAGGACTCAGTGAGTATAGCAAGTGCCTACGTGGACACCAGCTGACAGGCCCTGTAGAGTTCATGTCATCAGGCCTTTGCTCGCTCTTGTAGCCCTGTGAGCTTTGAAACTCTTCTGGGTCTTTGTTGTTTTCTCCCACCTTACGTGACTGACACCAGACTGATTTTCCAGGCCTGCAGGGCAAATTGCAGCTGGCTAGTCTCGTGGAGGACTGTTTAATAAGCATATATGCTTTTTCCATCCATACCTGCTATTCCTCCAGTTTTAGCATCCCAGATGGGGTTTTAGGCATGAGTTCTTTTTGATGGTGGTGACCTCATTTGTAGAAGATCCGTGAGATTTTTTTTCCTTACCCACAAAATCCCAAGGTCTTGCCTGAAATTATAGCAGACTTAGAGCCTGCAAGCTGTTCCCACTGGGAACTGGATTGAACACTCAGTCAATCCTGAGTGTCTCTTAACTCTGCATAGTTGTTGTTGAAGCAGGAGTGTTTTTTTGTGGGTGTCTATGTGGAAGGATTTATTTCTGATTAAAAGGGCTTCTTATCTCTGAAGGATGAAGATTCTCTTTGCAATAAACTGTGCACTTTTACCATCACTCAGAAGGAATTTATGAACCAGCATTGGTAAGTCTCTCTTCCTTCAGGTAAGAGTTTGTTGGGCCTTGATTGTTGGGACTTCTGGGCTCATTTGCTGGTTCTTGGTCTTTGCAGGTACCACTGTCACACCTGCAAAATGGTTGATGGGGTGGGCGTGTGCACAGTCTGTGCCAAGGTGTGCCACAAGGATCATGAAATCTCCTATGCCAAGTATGGGTCCTTCTTCTGTGACTGTGGAGCCAAGGAAGATGGTAGCTGCTTGGTGAGTGGTTGGGGCATTTGCTGTGCTGTGTAAAGGGTGGCTGGCTAGTAACACGAAAGTTTAGCCGAACTGGAAAATTCTGACATCACCTTCACGGTGGCTTGGGTGTAGGAGTAAGTTGTGGTTCTCTCACTGATCCGCTGTGCAACCATAGCGTGCACACTTCTTTTAGAGTATTGGGACTTGCAGGCATGTTGGAGACCTTGGCTGGTTTTGCCCAAGACCTCCCATCAGTGTTCCCATCAGTGTTCAGATGCTTTAGTGCAGATCTGTTGCTGTGAATGGGTGAAGAATTAGATGTCAGGTGAATACTGTAAGATCAGAATTCAGGCTTTTGAATATCAGTTAAATGCTCAGTCACTTTTTCCTTTGGTCAGATGCCCCTCTACAGTCTTAGGCAGCATTTCATGTGTGCTTGTGGCAAGACCTTGGAGCCTCTTGACCTTTCCATCCCTAGGCGCTGGTAAAGCGGACTCCTAGCAGCGGCATGAGCTCCGCCTTGAAGGAGTCAGCGTTTCAAAGTGAACCCAGGCTTTCAGAGAGTTTGGTGCGTCACACGAGCACGTCCCCTGCTGACAAGGCCAAAGTCACCATCAGTGACGGGAAGGCTGCTGACGAGGAGAAGCCCAAGAAGAGCAGCCTGTGCCGGACAGTGGAGGGCTGCCGGGAAGAACTGCAGAACCAGGTGGGGCTCTGACGGTGCCGGCTATGTGTAGCGTAGGGCCTGCGGGTGGGCTCATGAGCAGACCGTGCAGGGGCGCTCCGGCAGTTCTAGTGGTGGGACTCGGGGTCTCCTTTCTCTGAGTTTGCCCGCTGACGGTGTGCACAACGCAGTGTGTGTTGTCACTGCCTTGGGGCGGGTTATGACTGAGGAGTGTGGGTGGGGTTTGTGGAGGGTAAATAATTGTATAGTAATCTCATACCCCCTTTATTGGCCAGGAGTTTTCATCTAAAACTCAGAAAATTATGTGATCGTTTTTCTCAGTTTTCCCAAGAGTATTACATACTAAATTCACTTCTTGATGTGTGGCAGAAAAGTTAACTGACTGTACTTGGTGTGTGCATTTGAATAGTAGGGTGTTACGGGGAGGACGGATGATGGGTAATGAGAAAGCTGAATTCTGTTAAGAATTATTCTGGCAAGATTATGATGAATATGACCATTTTTGTCTCCCCCCCCCCAACTTGTGTATTTGGGTTTTTCTCAGGCCAATTTCTCCTTCGCTCCTCTCGTGTTAGACATGCTCAATTTCCTCATGGATGCCATTCAGACCAACTTTCAACAGGCTTCAGCTGTGGGGAGCAGCAGCCGGGCTCAGCAAGCCCTCCGCGAGCTGCATACAGTGGAGAAGGTGGTTGAGATGACAGACCAGCTGATGGTGAGTGCCAGAGACCCGACTTGGGGTGTGTGTAGGGACTGGCACGTTTTCCACAACCCCAGAGGGCACCGGGCACTGTCTCCTGAACCGTCATTCTGAACTCCAGAACTTGCCGTCTCAGCTCTCAAGACATTTAGTGTAAAAATTGGCATGTGAGGTGTGTCTTCAAAAGACGGGAAATCTAAGGGCCGTCGTACCCACAGGGGGAACGTCCTTTCGGGTTTAACTATGTATAACTATATGAGCCACCCAGATGTGAGGAAGTCTGTGTCTGGGCATCTTAATAGACATTTCTTTCTTATATGAAATTAGCTCTTCGTGTATCTTTTCCCTAAGGTTCACCTGACTTTCAGAAGCTAATGTTTATCTTCTTTTGCTGTAGCCCTTTTGGTCATGTGCCTTGAGCTCTTCCTGTGACGTGGCTTACAGTTGTGAGCCAGGGCTACTCAGCACGGGGCTGGGGCTGCTGGCATGGTCCACCCGCCCTGTGAGCAGCGTAGCAAGGGGAGGGACAGAGTCTGTCACTTCTGAAAGGGAGTGGCAACTAAATCTCATGGTTGCTTCTGAGAGGAAATATTCACTTGGAAACACATACTCTGGTATTTTGTTAAAAATCAGTCACAGTTTTAGAGCAGTGGATTTAGACTTAGATAATAAAGATGAAGCTAAAAAGTATTGGGGTGGCATTTGGTGATCTGTAGAGCTGCTGCCTAAATTTTTCAGTAGATAAGTGAAAAAAAAATCACCTATCATGCCATCTTTTTTTTTTTTTTTAAAGATTTATTTATTCATACAGAATTGGAGTACAGGCCAGAGATGCAGAGGGTGAGAGGATTCACCAAGGACAGAGTGGGGAGCAGAACAAAAAGATCGACGAAGTACACTGCTGAGGGGAGCAGTGGGCGGGTCAGGAGAGGTCTGCCACGCCATGTGGATCTCCTCCGGGGCAGGCGGGGATCGAACTCATGTGGAAGTGGCTTAAGCTTCTTAGTGCTGTGCTTTGACCCGCTGCGCCACCAGGGAGGGCCCTCATGCCATCGTTTTTATGAAAATAATAGCTTTCCATTAAAAAGAATACAACAGTTTTTGTTAAATTTAGCTTTATGACACACGTACTACATAACTCTGATTTGACTGCCAGTAACTTTGATCAGTTACCTCACAGTCCGCAGCGTTGCCAGGGCTCATTGATTTTGAATGACTGAATTGCACTTTGTCTCAGTCATGCAAGTCAATTGTGCCCCCTTGACCATCTCGCCTTACTTCTGCCTGCTCTGCTTCTCCTTGTCAGGTTCCCACCTTAGGCTCTCAAGAAGGTGCTTTTGAAAACGTTCGGATGAACTACAGTGGAGACCAGGGCCAGACTATTCGGCAGCTCATCAGCGCCCATGTTCTCAGACGGGTGGCAATGTGTGTGCTCTCCTCACCCCACGGGCGCCGCCAGCATTTGGCTGTCAGCCACGAGAAGGGCAAGGTGGGTCCTCCAGTCACTTCGTGCGCATTTCAGGTTGTGCTTATCTTAAGGACTCAGCAGAGCAGCCGCATGAGGGCTCTCAGGCTGGCCCTGTGGGCAAGTCTGTTGGATTCCAGGCGTGTTTCAAAGACTGAGTATGAGCTTTCCACCTTGAGCTCTGTGTTATGGAATCAGATGTCAACAGGGTGGTTCGAATTAGTACACTCTTGCTATAAACACACATTCCAGGGAGCAGCAACCTAAGACTGGCAAGGTTCGGGGTCTTGCCCATTGTGGTCACTCTGGGAGGCACAAGCTGAAAGCAAGCATGGAGACAGGGCTTCCTCCCCTCAACCCTCTAAGGACACAGGACAGCTTTGTATGTCACCTTACAGACCTAGTGAAGGTGGAAGGGTGTAGTTACCTCACCATCCTCTTCTGCATTCTGGCTTCATCGGCATTAAAGTTGTTGTGACCTCATCTCAAGTGAAAAACAAACTAGAGAGATGAATTGTCTTTAAAACAGCTCTAGGAGAATGATTTCATAGGCAACCAGAGACTAGGACACACTTCACACTATTTTTATAAAGTGATGACACAAAGAGTAACTGGTTTCATTACTGATCTGTTTTTTTCCTCTCTGGAGAAAGGACTTTGTTTTGGCCAGGAGTAAATCTAGGATTTTCATAGGAAATTTATCTATAACAATAAAAAAAGCCGCTGTGTTCCACTCCCCTTTCTGAATGAGCTTTGGTTACTCCTCTGTGTGCCCCGAGAGGACAATAAAGGGTTAAGTGCAAACCAGTCCTTGTTCCTTTGTAGATCACTGTCCTGCAACTCTCCGCACTCCTGAAGCAAGCAGATTCCAGCAAAAGGAAGTTGACTCTGACCCGCTTGGCGTCTGCCCCGGTCCCCTTTACTGTGTTGAGCCTCACTGGAAATCCTTGCAAGGAGGACTACCTTGCTGTTTGTGGGCTGAAGGTAACCATCAGATGCCGGTTTGATCACCTTGAGTTGTGGATCCAGGCTTTAGTTACTCCCCTCTTCTCAGGGAAACACCACTTTTACTTAGTCACTGTTAGAGTAAAACAAAAGCCACTGGAATGCAAAAGAAATCTCTCGGAATTTCTTTCAGCTGTTCCAGATTTTGACTGGAAATAATCTGTATGTATTCTTGAAGTCTGGTTATGTGACTAGATAGTCTGAAATGAAGGCATAGGCAGAGAACATTAGGGAAGGGAGGAAAACATTAGGACTTGAAGTGAGTTAGCCTACTTCTGAATAATTTTTTTAAAGATTTTTATTTATGCATACAGAAATGGGGTACAAGCCAGAGGCTCAGGGGCAGAGAGAGTCATCACCAGAGACAGAGTGGGGAGCAGAACAGGCAGATTAATGAAGTACACTGCTGAGAGGAGCAGCTGGCAAGACAGGAGAGGTCTGCCGCGCCCTGTGGGTCACCTCCAGGGCGGGGATCGAACTCACACTGTAGCTTGCAGTGTTCCATCCTTACCCGTTGCACCACCAGGGAGGCCCATCTGGATAATTTTTGACTGCTTCTTGACTTGTGTCCAGGACTGCCACGTGCTGACCTTCAGCAGCTCAGGCTCAGTTTCGGATCACTTGGTGTTGCATCCTCAGTTGGCAACAGGGAACTTCATCATCAAAGCTGTGTGGCTACCTGGTTCACAGACTGAATTAGCAATTGTCACTGCAGACTTTGTCAAGGTACAATCCCATTCTTCGAAATAGTGCTTGGTGATTTTACTACTAAATTCAGAATTCGCTCCATTATGTGTTTGCTTCACCTAGAAATTAAATAAGAGGTCCCAGCATTTGTTACCTTTTGTTAGGTTTCTGCACAGGCTTTGTGTGTTGGCAGTATGAAGTTGATTCTGGCCTGCCCCGGGGGCCAAGGACACAGCTGTTCCTGTACTTGTTACAGAAACTCCTAGCTGTGTATCTCGCGCCTGTTCGACAGGAATGAGTAGTAGTTCGCTGCTTGTTCCTAACATGTAGGTGCTTCTTGTTTGGGGATGAATGCCTAGTGCGCCCCAGGTGATGAGTGCCCAAGAGGCACCAGGCGCAGCTCTTTGGATTTGCCAGGGTGTTTGGGGGGTAGAGGTGAAAGGGATTGCCCTTATTTTGTCTTCTGCAGATTTATGACCTATCTGTAGATGCCTTGAGTCCAACCTTCTACTTCCTCCTGCCAAGCTCTAAGATAAGAGATGTTACCTTCCTCTTCAATGAGGAAGGAAAGAATATCATCGTCATAATGTCTTCCGCGGGGTACATTTACACGCAGCTCATGGAGGAGGCCAGCAGTGCTCAGCAAGGCCCTTTCTATGTCACCAATGTCCTAGAAATCAATCACGAGGACTTGAAGGTGAGATGTGTTGCTGTTCCCTTCTCCAGATTTACGTAGTTCAGCAACTCCTCTGTGCCTTGATCTTTCTCCCAGGAGCAGAAACATGTCCTTTGGGGACAAATTGGTTTAAATTGAAATTCCTTTATTAAGACTTAACCACAGGTTTCCCGTCTCATGCGTAGAGCATGGGAGCACATCATCATGGTCTCAGATGGATAACTTGCAAAGCTAAGCTGGAAGCAACATGAGAATGTATTGCGAATGTTCTTCGTCCCACAGGACAGTAACAGTCAGGTGGCAGGCGGTGGCGTGTCTGTGTACTACTCTCATGTGCTGCAGCTGCTGTTCTTCAGCTATTCTCAGGGCAGGTCATTTGCCGCCACCATCAGCAGGACGACTCTGGAGGTGCTGCAGCTCTTCTCCATTAACATCAAAAGGTGGGTCTGAGCCCTCACGTTCACCCTCACAGCGCCCCCTGCAGAGGTCTCTACCCCGCACCCAGGAGCTGGTGTCTCGTGTGAACCTGGTGAAACTGCTCTTCTCCGGTGGTGGTCTCCCTTCCCTGCTAGGTGTCGCAATCAAGCAGTGTCCAGTGTTGGCAGGATGGGCTGCTCGCATGGGTCGGCGTCCTGCCTGCCACCCAGGGCGACTTCAGACTGTCTCCAAGAGGTTTTGGGACCCACGGCCACTCAGAGACAAAGCCATATATCATGGCAGCAAACCTGAGTTTTGAGACGCATTCTTAAATCTCCACTACAGTGCTTTTTGAGATTCCCTCAGGAGGGCTTACGAGTAAGAAACTCGGCGTCAGTAGTGGTGAGGTTGGGGAAAAGAGGGCTCCTGCTAGGTTTCTGGATAAAAGAGGTATATCAAGCTAGGAGGGCTTATTTAGGGAGGAGGAAGAAGAGGTTTTGGGTCTCCCCATCTTTCTTACCTACTTTTTTTTTTTTTTTTTTTTAAAGATTTATTTATTCATACATACTGGGGTACAGGCCAGAGATGCAGAGGGTGAGAGGACTCACCAGAGACAGAGTAGGGAGCAGAACAGGCAGATGATCAAAGTACACTGCTGAGGGGAGCAGCGGGCGGGCCAGGAGAGGTCTGCCGCACCATGTGGTCACCTCCAGGGCAGGCGGGGATCGAACTCATGCGGAAGTGGCTTAAGCTTCTTAGTGCTGTGCTTTAACCCGCTGCACCACCAGGGAGGGCCTCTTACCTACTTTTAAGGAGCCATGATAGCGCTTTCTCTCTGGCCTCTTTTGTAGATCACTCAGTTTGAGATGAGATAACATGGACACCATTCGTGTGTGCCTCGGATGTTCTTGGAGGCATTCGTAGGTCCTCAGCCTTAGGCAGCTCCAGTGCGCCGGGCGTCGGGCGTCGGCAGCCTTCCAGCACATGGCACTCCCTGTCCCACCTGATGGGGAACTCGGAGTGCAGATGCCGAGCGAGGGCTTTTCGCATGGGGGCGGTGTGAGCGTACAGGCATGGCAAGGGGTGAAGCTCCTGTGTGATTTGGCTCTCTGGAGAGTGTGAAGATGGCTTCTAGGTCAAGAAAGAACCAGCGGAATGTAACTGAGGCCTGAACTGTGCCTGGTTTTGCCTATTTGCAGTTCCAACGGTGGCAGTAAGACATCTCCTGCCCTGTGCCAGTGGTCTGAGGTGATGAACCACCCTGGCTTGGTGTGTTGTGTCCAGCAAACTACCGGTGTGCCTCTGGTAGTCATGGTGAAACCAGACACTTTCCTCATCCAGGAGATCAAGACTCTTCCTGCTAAGGCTAAGGTCAGTGTCAGAGTCCGCGTCACTTGGCTGCGAGCCCACTCTTTTGTTGTTTGTGTATTATGTCACTTTTCCCAGTTCTCTCCGCGGAGGTCTGTGAAAGAATGTCCGTCTGTTTTCTCCTGGGTGCCTTTTCTTGCCGCCCTTATGCACATTCCCCAGCAGCAGCTGCTGCTCTGCCTCTTGCGACAGGTTCTGCTTTGCAGGTGCCGGAGTGAGTGGCTCTCTCTATCCCTCCTCCTAGATCCAAGACATGGTCGCCATTAGGCACACAGCCTGCAATGAGCAGCAGCGGACAACGATGATCTTGCTGTGTGAGGACGGCAGCCTGCGCATCTACATGGCCAACGTGGAGAGCACTTCCTACTGGCTCCAGCCGTCCCTGCAGCCCAGCAGTGTCATCAGCATCATGAAGCCGGTTCGAAAGCGCAAAACAGCTACCATCAGTGAGGCCCCTCTTCAATAGGCTTGTGGGGAGGGCGCGGCAGTCCTCTCATGGGGACGCAGAATAGGTGGCCATAAATCTCTGTGGAGAAGCAGCCGCTGGCTGGCTGTGTGTCTTTAAAGGGAGAGATGAAATAGCTAATTCCCCAGGAGCAGAGTCAAGGTTTTCGGGTCCCCACGTTCCCTGTGACTGCCGGAGACACTGCACAGGTGGCCAGCACCTGGCTGCACTCAGCCCAGCAGTTCGCAGGGGCCTAGTAAGAAGGCTTGCTGGGTCTGATGTTTGAGAGCCTTTTCTCTGGGTTTAGGGGCAGTGACTGGCCTGGTGGGAGGTGGCCGATGGAACAGACTGAGGGGGAGATTCCTTTGTTGACTACTTTTCAAGAAGTAGGGACTAGCCATTGGCAGTCTCTAAGCTGGGAGTCCAGCTACTGACCAGTAGAGGACATCGTAGGGGGCGACAGTGGCATTTAGGAGTGAGTTAACTGGCTTGGCAGAGACCACTGCAGGGGTCATCACATTGCTTCAGTTCACTCTAGAGACTGTTTGAAGTGTTGGAGCGGCTCATCCTCCTGCAAAGTAGTTTTTGTTGCTTGCTGTGGTCAGCTTGCTATGAGAGAGCGTCTCGTTATTGACTGTAGCCGGTTCTGGCCGCACTTCCTTTGCCAGGTCATGCTGTGGCTCGGGATAGGGACTCTTAGGTAGCTGACCTCTGCGGATGCAGTCGCTGTTATCCGGAGTTTGCCTGGAAAGTCTCTCGGCGTGTGCGAGTGTGGGCTTAGCTGGGGAGGGGTCTTCAGCTGTGGTGTCGCGACCACTCGTAACCCGTGCTCTGGCATTCTGGTGCTGCTCTCCACAGCCACCCGCACATCTAGCCAGGTGACCTTTCCCATTGACTTCTTCGAGCACAACCAGCAGCTGACAGACGTGGAGTTTGGTGGCAATGACCTCCTGCAGGTCTACAATGCACAACAGATAAAGCACCGACTGAACTCCACGGGCATGTACGTGGCCAACACCAAGGTGAGGACTCCCGGCCGGGTTCAGCCCCAGGTACCAGGACCCCACGGCGTGGTTCCAGAACCGTCTCCTTTCAAGTGTAGGTATAAGGGGCATAGTCACAGTCGCTGGCCCTTGGTTTTGGTTGAATGGCCGCTGAAAGGAAGTGACTATTCTAATTCCCAGGCAGAAGGGCTCCTGTCCCAACATTACCTGGTTATTGCGAGGGCAGCAGGAGGGGTTATGCTTGCGAGAAGAAAGCCTGAAATTGAATAGTGTCTACTCCCTGCCTGTTTCTCCAAACTTGGGAGTGAGGCCGTCATGGGGGGGGGTGGGAGTGGTTAAAATGAAAACGTTTTGTACAGTTGAGATGAAAAAATGCACAAAATGAGGAATGCTGTAAAAAATTAATAAAAAAATATTTTTAAGGGCTACTTTTTAGTGATTTAAAGTTCAGAAACAAAATCAAAGTTAACTAAAAGAAAAGAAAAAAGGTTTTGTCCGGGGTCACAGTTGAGAGGGAGGGTTAAGAATGCCAATGTGTGCGCCTTTCTTCCCGCCAGCCCGGGGGCTTCACCATCGAGATCACTAACAACAGCAGCACGATGGTGATGACAGGCATGCGGATTCAGACTGGGACACAGGCCATCGAGCGGGCACCCTCGTACATTGAGATCTTCGGCAGAACAATGCAGCTTAACTTGAGTCGCTCCCGCTGGTTTGACTTCCCCTTCACCCGAGAGGAAGCCCTGCAGGCCGATAAGAAGCTGAATCTCTTCAGTGAGTCTCCACCCGGGCGCAGATGTGTCCCCCAGGGTGATGACTTGGGGGTTCCTCGGTTTTCTCCAGTGCCCTTGAGACCCTCTGCCCCGCCCCCAGCTCCATGGTCTCTGCCCTTGTGACATGTCAAGCTTCATTTGACATGTAAAGGAAGCCAGGGATAGGAGGCCTGATGACAGAGATGCTGCCCAGTGGCCACCTCTGTAGGGTTGTGCCTGCTCAGGGCTGCCTGACTGTTCAGGCAGAGGAGGGGCAAGGTCAGAAGCCGCCCCAGGGCCTTCTTAAAACCTGCCGAGAGCCTGGGCAGTCACTGTGAAATGCTCAGCACCACCTTGACCTTGCTGTGGGGCGGGGGGGCACCTCAGACCCTCAAAGTACCAACCCTGAGCCATTCACGGGGTTGGCATCTGCAGAGAAAGATGAGATGAAGATGAAAACAGAACGGAAGGGAAGACCTTCCCCTAGAATTTCAAGATTGGGTCCTCAGCTACAACACCAGCTTGAGCATCTGCTCTCTCCCAGTCGTGCTGCTGTTAGTGTGGGTAACACCTCTGCTTGGCCACGCCTGGGGATGGCGATGTGTGGCAGCACTTGGAGCTCCAGAGCACCTCCGTGGTGGTATTGAGGGGCTTGTCTGAGTAGGAGACTCCCTGGGTTTGGCTCAGAAAGCTGCCGCACACATGCAGCCTGACTCTGTGGTGATGTAAGTGCCGCTGGAGGCCCAGGACACACGTCCCTCTGTGGCTGTAAGAGCCAGGTGATGTGCTGCTTAGCCCTGACTAGTGGTCTACACTTTGGAGGCAGTGGGGTTAGCTTTTTCCAGGACATACTTCCTAATGGTGTCTCTTGCTTATTGCAGTTGGGGCATCCGTGGATCCAGCAGGAGTCACCATGATTGATGCTGTAAAAATTTACGGCAAGACTAAGGAGCAGTTCGGCTGGCCTGATGAGCCCCCAGAAGAATTTCCTTCTGCCTCCGTCAGCAACATCTGCCCTTCAAACTTGAACCAGAGCAATGGCACGGGAGACAGTGACTCCGCTGCCCCCACTACCACTAGTGGAACTGTCCTGGAGAGGTACCGGCGCTGGCAGGGCTTGGCTTCAGTTCTCGCCGGTTTTCACTGACCCTGCAGAGCCTATGTCTTGACAGTCAAGCTTCAGTACCTGTCCCAAGTCCAGCGTGTGATTTTCAAGTTGCTACACAATTTGCGCTCAGTCAGTGTCTCCTGAGTTTGCTAACAGAACCCGAAAGTGCACTCAGCTGCCTGACTCCAGGGTCTTCCTGGGGGCTCCCGTGCCTTCTCTTACTGCTCGGGTACCCTGTGGAGTAGCCAGAGGCTGCTGACTAGAAGATGCTCAAGCTGGTGTTGTAGCTGAGGACCCAATCTTGAAATTCTAGGGGAAGGTCTTCCCTTCCGTTCTGTTTTCATCTTCATCTCATCTTTCTCTGCAGCGGCTACTACATACGTGGTATTAACATTGCTGGCCAGGGGCTGTCTGCTGCATCCTGTAGCAGAGTTCAGTCTCCTGAGGGCGCCCTCCAGTGGCCTTAAGCATTGCGCTTGGCTTCTTTGTGCTAGGGAGCTGCTGGTTTGCCATTGACAGATGAAGTAACTCAAATGTAAGATGTTGAGTTTCTTACATCGTCAGCCCTAAGAATAGCCTGGCTCGGCTATCAGTGCCGCTCGCCAGCAGCCTCAACGCCCCCTTCTCTCTTTTTCTCTCTCTTCCCCCTACTTTACTCTTATATTGTTTGCTTAGGATGTGTTTCCAGGTTTTTCTGAGCTTCACATTTGTTTCCTTTTTTTTTCCTTTGCTTCTCCCCCAAGTTCTGAAACTGAGTCCCTAACCAAGCTGGACCGGTTAGTATGCCCTCTTTCTTTTCTCTGCACGAGTGAGTGTGTGTCAGAGAGTCGTGTAATCCATGGCGTGGCTTTGCGTTGCTCCTGCTTCTGTGGGCGAGTCCTGCTTCTTTCCGTCTGGTCACTGCATGGGCGCAGAGCTACCCCTTGCGAAGTGGAGTCTGTAGGGGCTGAACGAGCACTGGGTGGTGGCTGCTTCAGTCCCGGCTTAGCTTTCTCGTCCTTACCCATCCCTCTCTGCTCCCTCTACCGTGGACAAGAAGGGGTGCGGGGTGGTGGAGCAGCTGAACAGCCTCTCTAAAGAGCCCTTGGAGAGCGTGTCCTGCCCAGCTTGTTATATGCCTCCATTCCCTCGTCCCTGGTCTTCATCACCTTCCTCTGTCCCTTGACCTTTTCCTCTCCAGACACTTTCTCAGTGCTTTCCCTTTGGGGCCACAGTACCAGCCGTCGGGACGTTGCTCTTATTACTGTGTCACATGAAGCTTCCGGGAGCAAGCCCTGGGTTCAGCAGTTGGGCTTCCTGTTCCTTCTCTAAGGGAAACGGCTTAGGTTGTGAGCTGCTTTGTAGTGTCCCTTGACTCCTGGCAGTTGGCATGTACCTGACAATGCAGTTTGTTCTTTCCCCGTGTGTAGGGACTCATGGGAAGTGCCCTTGAGTGCTTTCTTGGTGCAAGTGTAAGTAAAGTACAGTCTTAGCCTTTAACCTTTTTCCTTTGGGTGTCCCTTTGCCTACTGATCTCTGGGCACCTGCGCTTTGGGTGCCATGGTTTCAGGGCCATTAAGCCCATCTCAGTGATCCCTGCCACAGGCAGCAGAGGGAAGCACTCTTATCCTCTTTGAGGAGGAAAAGCCTGTCTTTGAGTTAAGGATTATGGCACAACCTCAGGTTGATCTCCACGCAGGAGCCGGTGTCTTCTGGCCTGTAACATGAGAAAACGATACACATGGTGCCTGTGGCGGGTCTTACTGTGCTTTGATTTTGTCGTTGGCATTCATGAGCAGTCCCCAAGGTCTTCACAGCTGTGGTTTGCACAGACTAATGCATAGGCAGGGAGAGGGGTGGGGTTGTGCTCACGCCAGCTTTTCTGTCTCCCTAGGCTGGTTGTGAGTTCTTTAGAAGCCCTGGAAAGCTGCTTTGCTGTTGGCCCAATCATCGAGAAGGCAAGTTATGTTTTCAAAGCACACGGGGCTTTCTGAAGAGGCAGGAAGTCAGTGGGTTCGCCAGAGACCCTGAGGCCTCACAGCAAAAGGACGCTTATGTCATAATCTTGATGGGCAAAGAAGCGCCAGAGCAGTCTTCAGCTTCAGGCCTTACCCCCTACTTTTGGGGGCCATGCTGGTAAAGGATCTCTGTTCTGGAAGTCATGAGCTTCGACTCAACCTCCGCACTATCTTGTGGGGAAGATTATAGTTTTTGAAGTTCTCTGTTCTCCTCTTTGCAGTTCTTGGAGCATAACCTAGCCCTGGCGCCTAATTGGGGGTTGGGGGAGGGCGGGCTATAGATAGCTGCATTCGGAGGACGAGTGACGACTGCTGTTTTCTGCATCAGGAAAAAAACAAGAATGCAGCTCAGGAGCTGGCTACTTTGCTGCTGTCCCTGCCAGCACCTGCCAGTGTCCAGCAGCAATCCAAGAGCCTCCTGGCCAGCCTGCACACCAGCCGCTCGGCCTATCACAGCCACAAGGTAACCGCTTCGTCTTGGGGGCGCCTTCTGTGGAATGACCGCGGGGGGGCTGACAGCAACTCGAGAAAGATGTCTGTTCCTCTGTGGAACAAGCGCAGAATGCAGTGATGTGGGCAAGGTAGCGCTGAGATTAGCTATAGTCTCGTGTTTCTCCAGAGAACGAATGAATTTTCCTTAGAACTGAGGATGAACCCGCTGCTGAAACACTGGTTTGCAGTTCTTTTGTTTGTTTGTTTTCAGTCTACTGGGGTCAGTAAGACTTAGAGAGGGCGGGATCGTTGGGTGTGGGTGGCTTCTCATTCGAAAAGAGGGGAGGGGACTCTCTTCACTGATCAGGATTGCTGTGAGTGACTCCTCCCGCTGTGGGACAGTGTATACTGGCATGTGAGAAGGTGCCGAATGGTTGTTGAGAGACATGAACATGGATCCTTGGGGAGAGAGGGTCTCCTTGGAAAGATAGTGGTTGAAGGTGGTAATTTAGGCCAGTTTCTGTCATTGGAAATACAACAGGAGAAGTAACCAGCTCAGACACCTGGTCAGCCTTTGTTCCTCCAACACGTGGCGCTGAGAAATGCGAGCCTCTTTAGGAAAAGCCGTTTCCGAATGGAGTCTTTGAGTAGTGTGAGCTTGCTGAGACGTGACTCTTCAGCCGCAGAAGGAGGCCTGGCATGCTGCCGTTCTGGGAGATTGAATGGTTTCTGGTTTTCCTAACATGTTGATACTGAATTCATAGCTTTTGATTTTCTTGTGTCTTTAGTACTTTATTCATTTGGATGTTTAACTGTCTTGGGTGGTTTTGAAGATTTGTCCTGGGTTGTTGGTTTAATTTAATTAGTGTGTTCCTTTGAGAGAACGTAACAGTCTTACTGATCTGCCTGCTCCTTCGTCTTCTCTGCTACAGTACCCCGCCCTTCCTTGAGGTTCATCCTCTCTGATCCTTTCGTTGTAGGATCAGGCCTTGCTGAGCAAAGCTGTGCAGTGTCTCAACACATTCAGCAAAGAAGGCAAGGATTTGGACCCTGAGGTCTTCCAGAGGCTGGTGATCACAGCTCGCTCCATTGCTATCATGCGCCCTAACAACCTTGTCCACTTTACGGAGTCAAAGCTGCCCCAGATGGAAACAGGTGAACTTGGCCTGTGGGGCCGTGGTCCTGAAATCTGCTTAGCACACTTTTCCTACCCTCTTTTCCTCTCACTGTTCATGTTGGCCGGTGACTGACCTCACGTTCTGAGACAGGGATTTTGCTCCCTGGTCTCTATACCAAGTTCCCTTTGCAGTGTTTACTCCTTGGATTACCTTTGAGTTTATCGCTCTGGAAACCAAATGTAATTGGTCTCAGAAGCTGCTACCTCTTTATGATCTTCAGGGGAAAGTTAAGCTTGGGCCCTGGTTGCTGTAACATAATAGGGTCATGTCTTGCTTTTATACTGTTCTTTTGCCATTATCTTATTAACATGTGTAGTGTTTGATTCTGTTTCCTCATCTCTCCTCATATCGACGGGGTACCAAACTTGTTTTACCTTTATTCAATGCAGTTTGTTGATGCCTTTAGAATTCTGTTACTTACTTGCACCCGTATGCTGTCATCCTGTTCCTCCTCCTAATACGAGAATCCAGGAATCATTCAAGAAACATCTCAGCTGTTCCTTTAGTGTTTAGAAGTTAACAGTTGGACCTGAGATCTCTGAATCTGCTACAAAGATCCTGACTGCTCCCCTCTACTCAGTTCTAACATACAATGTTTTCTGTGATATTCCTTTCCCAGACTGTTTTTTTCCTAGATGTGCCTGCTGGAGTCTAGGGATAGTTGGCATATTGATTGGGGCCCCACTTGAAACTCCCTCCCCAGGCAAGCTTCCTTGACCTGAGTTAACCTTAAAACAAATTAAATTCCATGTCAGATTTACCGTCGCTAACGGTTTTCTTTCTCCTGCTTAGAAGGAGTGGATGAGGGAAGAGAACCTCAGAAGCAGTTGGAAGGAGACTGCTGTAGTTTTATCACTCAGCTGGTTAACCACTTCTGGAAACTCCACGCGTCTAAACCCAAGAATGCTTTCTTGGCGCCGGCCTGCCTGCCGGGTAAGTGTCACAGGGGTGCTGCAGCCTCGACACATAGTGAAGCGTGCTCTGTGTTTTATGTCTCCGCTTAGCTTGAGTCCTCAGCCATCATCTCCACTCCTTCCCGCATTCATAAGAGGCGGGGCTCTGCGGGACCAGTGCTGTTGCTGCAGGACTTCAGCAGTGTGCTGGCTGGGGCAGCGGATTTTCTTGTCCCGCTTCTCTTTATGTGGGGTTGAATATTTCTCACACAGAAATGTGTGGCGTGCCTGTGTGTGCACGTGTGCTATGTGTGTGCATGTGTGTGCACGTAGTGGTACTGTGTTTATAATTTTTTTTAAACTTTGAAAGCTTGATTAAAGTCAGTTGAAAAGTAGAAGTTAGGAGTCAGCCTTGAGAATTACTGTATTTCTGATATTTAACTGCTTGCTTCTGTGATACAGAATATCTGGAAAGGCTTCTGAGGATAATTTGGGAAATTGGGAGGTTATTAACAGAATAAGTTATATTAATCTAAGTTCTGCTTTTTGCTGTGTGTGCTTGTCTTTTTTTTTTTTTAGTTTGTTTTGTTATGACCAAGTTTTGTCCACCTTGATGTGGTGATAAGAATTTCTGCCTTTTCTTCGACTCAGGTTGTTAGAAAATTTTGCCCTATATTTTCCTCCCCTTTAGGCCTAACTCACATCGAAGCTACTGTCAATGCTCTGGTGGACATCATCCACGGCTACTGTACTTGCGAGCTGGACTGTATCAACACGGCCTCCAAGATCTACCTGCAGATGCTGCTGTGTCCGGTGTGTTTATCCCACAGCCCCACGGGTCCCTGACAAGCCTGGGTCTGCTGAGAAAGATTTTCTTAACTAACTTGATGAAATGAAATCCTAGCAATCCATTGCATTTCACCAGGCTAGCAAACTCAAAATGAGTTTCAGACTTCAGTAAAAACTTTCAAGATCTTTCTTATTTTCATGGAAGAAAAAGCTTGGGGAGGGGGCTGAACTACCTGTCTTCTTCAGCGTTGTAGAGGGAATAGATGGGTGGTTGCTGCATAATTAGTGCGAATTTTGGATTCAACAAGTACACAAATGAGCTTCTTTAAGATCTCTTTCCAGTAACTGTTAGGCAGCCATGCGTCAGATGTGCTGCTTGGAGCACAGTGTTAAGATGAGCCTTCTCATCTGACAAAAGCCAGCCATTTAGAGAGTCAGAGGTAGGGCAAATGACCCACCATTCTGCTCCCAGGAAGTGAGATGAGGGTCGGTGCCTGGATGAACTGCTGAACCCGATCACTGGGGTTGCTGCTGAGAATGGACGGGTCTTCCGCGTGCATGTAGGTGCATGTAGGCCAAGAAAGTAAGGGGTCTGTGGATAGCTTCAGGGGTACATAAATCCGAAGCATGACTTCTTTTTCAACCTCAGGACCCTGCTGTGAGCTTCTCTTGTAAACAAGCTCTAATTCGAGTCCTAAGGCCCAGGAACAAACGGAGACATGTGACCTTGCCCTCTTCCCCTCGAAGCAACACTCCGATGGGTAATGTGTGGTCTGGGCTAGGGTGTGCGGTGCGTGCCTGCCTGCATGTGGGCATGCGGGGGTGGGCAGAAAGCAGGCGTTTGCTAGGGTGTGTGGCTCATGCTGGCCGGTCTGGAGACTGTGTGTGTGAACGTGTGTGATGTGTACATGGCAACTGTTGCTTCAGCCTACCTTATTTCAGAAGGAATTTAAGGTGACTCTATGGTAAATAAAAAATAAATGTAAAGGAAGTCAGTACATGGGGAAATAAAGATCACAGTGGAATCAAGGAGTGAGCCTGGAGGACTCACTAACGTCTGACAGCGGAGCTCATGAACAGCTTCCCTTATCATGCACTTTGACATGGCTGATTATAGTTAGCATTTTTATGTTCTCCTGGTTTACAGTTAACATTTATTGTAGTAAAAGCAGTCCCATAGTGTATCTAAATATTAGCATTGCACTATATAACTGATTACTGGTGTTAGCTTATGAACATTTCCAGTGGAAGTCATATTTGTTATTTAAAATTTTCTGTTAGCCAGTTTATAAAGAGTAAAAGGAAATATATAAAGTTAACTTATTAATAAATTAACCCCACTTATAAAAAATGTTTTAATGTGTAGTGTAAAAGATAATCAATGAAGTATGTTACATTCTTTGAAAATAACTTTGGCACTGTTTTCAAAATCTAGTGTGCGTTTCCACTTGCACTGGGTTCTGTAGCCACAGCTGGCTGGTGGCTGCCTTGTGGCTCACTTGGGCAGCATTTACGTTATCTAATCTTGTGATGAGTTAGGGCATAGCCTCCCTTGTCTCCCGGGAGGGTAGTTTCTGTCACAGCACGTCAGCTAAGGCCACTTTCATGTGCTTTCATAGCCCTAGTTGAAGGCAAGGTGACTGCGCCCACACAGAAGTGGACTCGGGCAGAGTGCAGCTTCTGCTTGATGTGTTTATCTTCCAGTGCTGAGACTTCTCACAGTGACCCTTCTGCTTTGGGGAAGGGCAGGAAATATCCTCTAAGCTCCTGTGACAGATATACATTATAATTTCATCTGTTTTATCCAAGGTTTCCTGAGAACTGGTGGGTGGTTGTGGGGGTCTACACATCTCGAATTTATGTCATAGGGATAGTCTTGGGAATCCAAGGTTTTTTGTTTTTGCTTTTTCCTTTCAACAGCTGAAGTCTTTCCCTAGGGTGAAGGTGATTGTCACTACAGCCCTACCTTCAGTTCCTGCTGGGTCCAGGAAACAAGGCTACAGGACCTGGCACTTGCTTTAAGGGACAGGGTGCCTTGGGTTTTGTTGCTTATGTGACTCCTCACATTGCACGCCGAGAAAGGGGAGAGCGAACATTCTAAGGTGACTGGGGTTTCTTTGACCCAGGAGACAAGGATGATGATGACGACGATGATGCGGATGAGAAAATGCAGTCATCAGGGATCCCGAATGGTGCCCACATTCGTCAGGAAAGCCAGGAACAGAGTGAGGTGGACCATGGAGATTTTGAGATGGTGGTGAGTGTCTGGCAGCAGGAGAGGGGAGCAGGAGCCTCGTCAGGCTCCTCTAGCTCTTACTCTGTGGATTTCCAAAAGCTACGACTTACCCTGGGATGCTGACAGAGCTTTCTTTCTATAGTCTGAGTCGATGGTCCTGGAGACAGCTGAAAATGTCAACAATGGCAATCCCTCTCCCCTGGAGGCCCTGCTAGCGGGCGCAGAGGGGTTCCCCCCCATGCTGGACATCCCACCTGATGCAGATGACGAGACCATGGTTGAGCTAGCCATTGCCCTGAGCCTGCAGCAGGACCAACAAGGTAGAAGGCCGTGCCAGAAGCACAGCGGCCTATTGGCCTTGCTCAGGAAAGAGGGTTTGGAGTTACTGATACCCAGCTGACTTAGCGTGTCCCCAGATTTGGGGAGAGGTTGATCTGGGTGAGAGCTGTTTGGAGATACAGGTGGAGAGTGAGAGGAATTGTGGCGGGATTTTCAGACTCGGAGTCAATCTCATAATTTCTATTAGTTTGGTTTTTGGATTATTTCCCCTGGAACCTGTTAGATTCCTCCAGCCTGTGTCCTGCCTGAGCTGAAGGAAACCTTCACCATCTCTGTAACCAAACTTGGTGGGTGGACAGCAATGGCTGTTGATTAACTTCCTCTAGGCCAGAGGGGTCACGTGCTGGTGAGTTTAGACTCCTGAGGGCAGCAGGTGGCCGGAGCAGCGCTGTGGGCGGGGTCTGGAGTGGATGTCGTGCTCACTCTCCACTTGTTTCCCAGGCAGCAGCAGCAGTGCCCTGGGCCTGCAGAGCCTGGGGCTGTCCGGCCAGGCACCCAGCTCTTCCTCTCTGGACGCAGGAACCCTCTCTGACACCACAGCATCAGGTAACTGTCCACAGCAAGGAGCACGGCTCAGGCCCAGGACCCTCGGGCCTGTCTCCAGTGCTGTGAGAGTATAATGGGCAGCTGCTTTGACAGGCCATTCTGGACTTCCTGCTTCTGCCTTGGCTTCAGAAATCTGATGTAGAAGGCTTAGTGACCCGGCTTGGCACAGGCGTTCTGGCTCTGCTCCCCTGCTCTGTGCATGCTGCCTGGCTTTAGCTCGTTCTCTGAGGAAGGCGAGGGTGCAGCATGCAGGTTGGCCAGCTCTGGGCTTCAGTCGCTTTAGGCAGTATTACAAGGAGGTCAGGAAACAGAGTTCATACTTTCTAACTTTTTAACTCTTCAAGAGAAAAGCTTGAAGAGGCTTAATCACCCCTCAGATTGGTGTTGCTAACCAGGAGTCTGTGAGTTTGGGAAGTGGGGATTTTGTGGACAATCCAGATGCATAGGAAATCACCAGGCTTCGTTTTAGCTTTGTTTTTCGTCTCTTTACCAGTAAGAAAAAAATATTTCCTGAGCAGAGATTTGGACCAAGTAGAGGAGTAATCAATCCACTGGAGTATCAGACCCCACAGTAATTCTAGGGTCGTGGTACAGTCTGTTTCAGATTGAGGCTTCCCCGTATTTGTTTTTTTTTCTTTTTAGTTGGGACTTTTACCCTGATTAGGTAAGCAAGGGAGAAATTGGCTGTCCCCGCTCACCTGCTGCCATGGCTTGTCGCTTCCTTAGGTCTCTTCAGTTGCTGTCATTTCAGGCTGAGAGGTCACCGTTGTGCTGTGCCAGTTATGTTTCTGCTGTGCTCTGTGGCTGTCTTGGCTTTCCTCCCCATGTATCTCATCCAGCATTTTCTTCCTGTCTCAGCTCAGCCCTGATCCTGGATGCTGTGGCTGTCTCTGGGGAATTTCCTTGCTTCATTATTAGCATCTGATGAGGATGATTAGGGGGTGTGAAATTTCCCCATAAGCTCCCCACTGGAACACCTGATTAAAAAACAAAACCGGGTTGATTCAAGAGCTCATGATAAATGATTTCCTAACATAAGTACAAATTGAATGATTATAATACAAATTATAAAACAGATCTCTTAAATTCAGAGTTCTCTGCTTTGAATGCTTATGGATAGTATCTAATCTCGGCAGGTGTCAGTAACACCTAGACTTTGGTGACCATGAAGCATTTCAGCTAGAAAGCTGAGTTTCCATGTCACAGATTCACACTGAATCTCTGTAATGTAGCGTCCATTGCTCTGTCATGTACCAGCGAAGGAAATGCCCAGTGATCTGGGTTTTCACTTCTGTCCAAGTACTGTTTGCAATGCACCGTGTATAGTGTTTGTTCCTGTTAACCAGCAAAGCAACTCTTTCCCTCTTTCCTTTGATGATAGGATATGTAAACTGCATTGTGTCCTCTGCACTATGTGGTTTGATGCTTTCACCCCGAGGAGGGGTTTTTACCTGTAACAGCTCTTGTTACTCTCCCAGCTCCAGCTTCAGACGATGAGGGCAGCACAGCAGCAACTGATGGTTCCACCCTGCGGACCTCTCCTGCTGACCATGGTGGGAGTGTGGGCTCGGAGAGCGGGGGCAGTGCAGTGGACTCAGTGGCTGGCGAGCACAGTGGTAACATGACTGGCGGGCAGGGGAGGGCCTCTTCTCCTTGGGCGTGGGCGGGAACGAACACAGAAACCTGCCGAGACTGGGGCTGTTTTAGCGAAGGGAGCCTTTGCAGGTTCATTTGAAAGTCTTACGGAATTCGTGTGGCCCCCTGCCTGGAGTTGCAGACACTCGGGGATAAGCCGAAGCTCAGTGAGGTTAATTTTACAGATGGCTTTGAATGATCTCTTAGAGGAAGAAGCATCGATACGTATAACCTCAAATCATGCTTCATCTAAAATAACCGTGGCATGACCTTGAAGTCCATCATACTGTGGTTTTTGCCCCTCTACTGGGGAAGAGACATTGGGCAGTTCTTTCGTGGGTGATCTGACGGGAACATAGCGGCCATCTTCACAGCGTGCTCGCTGGCTGCTAGGGCGGCGCGCTGGTTGGGGGCCCGACAAGGCCGTTGTGAGTTGGCCTTGTAATCAGTCTGTGTTTAAAGAGTGGATTTGGAAATTTCTTACAGAGGTGAATAAGAGTAGTTGATACTTTCTAGACTCCCAAGTCAGTGTACATTTTCTCTATAGAGTATGAGACGGACATTTCTCAGCAGCGAGGCTAAGGTTGTTGTTGTAGGTGGATCAGGCGTACTCCAGAAGGACGTGTGGCTGCCATGAGTGATTTTAGCATAGTGCTGCGGGGCCGTAATCTTGACTGCGAGTCAGTCTTTATTTAGCTCCACACAGAAGAAAAGATACTCTAAGCTATAGTCATCTTCTAACTCTTGCTGACTTCAGAAGGCACTGGATGCCATCATGCTTGCAGCTTGATTTGCACTTGCTTTTTTACTCATTTCTCTCCAGTGTCTGGCCGGAGTAGTGCGTATGGTGATGGCACAGCAGAGGGGCATCCAGCTGGGCCAGGAAGCGTCAGCTCAAGTACCGGCGCCATCAGCACCACCACCGGACACCAGGAAGGAGATGGCTCTGAGGGAGAAGGAGAAGGGGAAGGGGAAGGAGATGTTCACACCAGCAACAGGTCAGTACTGGTCCCTGGCCGTCAGGAGGCTTCTCCCTGTGAAAATATTTCAGGAGTAGGGTGATGGCTCAGTAGCAAGAGGTGATGGGTGATAAAACACTTTGCTGTTCTGAAATCTAAAGGGAATAAACTCAAACGCTTGAACCAACTTGTCAGTGAGATCCTAATTGATTTTCATATTGATCCTTGAGTCAGCATATTCAGCAGCCATCCAGAGGCTGTCGTTCAGTACTGAAGTACAGCTATGCGATGAGTTGAAGAACTCGTTTATTGGGGGGCTCTCTGGGCTCCAGTATGGAAAGGGGGGTGTGTTGAGGAAAGGCACTGGACAAGGTATCAAGGTAAAGCAGTGACTGGCCTCCCTAGTGATCTGGAAAGCCTGGAAAAGAAAGTTAAAAAAAATTTACTATGTAATTGGCTAATGTAGAATTTGTAGGCAGAAAAATTCTAGAAAGTAATGTCTGGAGACAGACTGGGACTATGTTTTTGGTAAAAGGCATAAGGCTTACTGTTGAAAGTTTATTTAGTTCTTATACTGAGAACAACTAGATGCTGACTGAGAAGTATTTGAATACTCTTGGAGGTTTTCATTTGTATTTTGGAATTGGCTTTGCTCCCTCTCCGCTGAGTGAGATTTCTCTTGTTGGTGTGCCAGGTAGCCATCGCATAACGTTTTCTAATGCTGGCGTTGTTCCTAAGCAGTTGGCCGCTTGCTTACTGTGGCGGTGGGAGGAGAGAATGTACGCTCTCCTTGAGTGTGTACGTCCTAACGCACGCTTCTTGCACTTCCCTCAACCTTTCAGGCTACACATGGTTCGGCTGATGTTGCTGGAGAGACTGCTGCAGACCCTGCCGCAGCTGAGAAATGTCGGAGGCGTGCGGGCCATCCCCTACATGCAGGTAGTGCTCGCAGCCGGGCCGCCTGGAGCGCGGTGCTGCTCTCACAGGGCTCTGGCCGCGGGGCTCTTTGCTGTCAGGTCTTACATGATTGATGTGGACTGTTGAACTGCACTTCCATGCCTTTCATCTTATGGATAAGAAAAGCTGACTGAAATTTTTTCTTCCCTTCAATGTCATCCAGTTTAGTTATTGACCAGGAGCAAAAAGCCTGCTCCAGGGGTTCTTTGTAGTGTTTGTTAGGGTTAGAGTGAGCGTGAGAGTGAATAGGTACTCTCACTGACTGCTTTCCTCCGAGGCAGAGGGGGAGTTTTTTTTTTTTTTTTTTTTTTTTTTTTTTTTTTTTATTTATTTGTGCATACAGAACTGGCGCACAGGCCAGAGGCTCAGGGGCGGTGAGAGGCTTCACCAGAGACAGAGTGGGGAGCAGAACAGGCAGATCGACGAAGTACACTGCTGAGGGGAGCAGCGGGCGGGTCAGGAGAGGTCTGCCGTGCCATGTGGTCACCTGTCCGGGGCAGGCGGGGATCGAACTCCTGCTGCAGTGGCTTTAGCTTCTCAGTGCTGTGCTTTAACCTGCTGCGCCACCAGGGAGGGCCCAGAATTCTGTATTCTTAGCACACTTCCCTGTCTTAAGCCAATTTAATTTGCTGTAATGTAGGTTAGTCAATTAGTTTTGCAAATCTTTGACAAAACATTTTCTGTGCTGCCAGGTGTGGCATCTACCAGATTCTTCTGACTCTGGACATTGAAACTTTGGAGATTTGCAAGCCTTCCATAGATTACAGTTCTAAGAGAGAAATCAGGAAGGTTGGGGTTTTCTTTTCTTTTTCTTTTTTTTTTTTAAGATTTATTTATTCATACAGAATTGGTGTACAGGCTAGAGGTGCAGGGACGTTGAGATGCTTCACCAGAGACAGAGCGGGGAGCAGTACAGGCAGGCCGATGAAGTACATTGCTGAGGGGAGCAGTGGGCGGGTCAGGAGAGGTCTGCTGCACCATGTGTGGGTCACCTCCGGGGTAAGGGATCGAATTCGCACTGAAGCCGCTGTGGCCAGCTTGCAGTGCTGCGTCCTAACCCGTTGTGCCACCAGGGAGCACCCAGGTTGGCGGTTTTTTCTGAATCACTCTTGAGTTGCTGTTGTTCAGAGAATTGGCTTTCACGTCTTACTGTTCTATTGACTTGTAGGTCATTCTGATGCTTACAGCAGATCTGGATGGAGAGGATGAGAAGGACAAAGGGGCCTTAGACAACCTGCTCTCCCAGCTTACTGCTGAGCTGGGCCTGGAGAAAAAGGTGACGTTGGAGAGTGAGGCGTGCGAGAAGCAGTGTTGGCTGGGGTTAGCGCTCGGGTTTTCTTTCCTCTTGTAGAGGAACAGCTGTCTTTGGGGGCTAATATCTGCTGAGGGCGCTGGTGTGATTTTAAAAATATGTTTTTGGTTCCTGTTTTGGCCCAGGTCTCTTTTTAGAGCTGGGCACAAATGTGGAGCAGGACAAAGCCCCTGAACCCCACAGACTTTCCACAGCTTCAGTGGTTCTTTATATCTTATGGCCGCCCAAGCGTGCCAGATCTTAGGTAGTGTACACAAATACTTTGAAACTTGTTTTTTTGTTTTTGTTTTTGTTTTTTTGTTTTGTCTGATTCCATCTGAGCGCATCTAGTGGTGACAGGTTTAAGGGAATCTTGTTTAGAGGTGTCACAAGCTGAAAGTGCACGTTCTCAATCTGCCTGCAGGATGTCTCCAAGAAGAATGAGCGCAGCGCCCTGAATGAGGTCCATCTGGTCGTGATGAGACTGCTGAGTGTGTTCATGTCCCGGACCAAGTCCGGGTCCAAGTCATCCACGTGTGAGGTATGCTAGCCTGGAGCCTTGTTGGTGTGGGCCTGTGGGGAGGTGAGAGGACGCCTGGTCACTGCCAGGGCCAAGGGCCTGGGGGCCAGTCCTTTGTTACTCTGGTAGGATAAGGCCCTGTTGCTTGAGAGGAGTGGCATGCAAAGCTGTCACCTCTTCAGGAGCTGGGACTCCAGCTTGTTCTGAATCCTCCCAAGTCTTGGTCTTTGGCAATAGTCCCTCCAGTGGAGGGCTGACAGGTTCAGAAGTCCCATTTTTGCAAAGCAGAACTGTTTCTGCAGGCGTAAGGTGGTTAAGAGGATTTCCTTACTTATGTTGCTATAAGGTGTGGTAATAAGCAGAGAGAAAGCAGTGTGTATGGTGGAAAGGAGATTAACACGAAGCAGAGAAGGTAGAAATGGAGGGTGAGCTGCATCCGATCTTAATGAGCTTAGGAGCTGTGGGGTTTGCTGGGATTTGCAAGGTCTCCTAATGGTTTTATTTACAGTAGCTTTTCTCCCACTCTTTAATTCATGTCATCACGCCTCCCATCTTCTTTGGAAGCTGGTTCTATGGGAAGAGTCCCTACTGGGAGGTGGGGTTCTGTGAAGTGCCGAGAGCGAAGTGTTCTCTCTCCTTGAGATGGGCTCCTTTCCTGGTAGCCCAAGGGAAAAGAAAACCCATCCCCTCCTAGGTGGAAAGGTTCTCTAATCCTTGCCTTCTGGGCCTCTGGCACATGTGCATAGGAGATTAGAGTTGACAACTGATGTTTCCTTGTTTGCTCTTAACCATGTGGTGCTTCCAGAGAGTCGGAAAACATCGCAAGAAACTAAAGTACTGCGGCGACAACTCACTTTGCCTCCCCCACCCAACCCCCAGCTGGGTTTCCCACTTTCACAAGCGGTTCTTACCTCTCCCCCCAGTCGTCTTCCCTCATCTCCAGTGCCACAGCCGCAGCCTTGCTGAGCTCTGGCGCCGTGGACTACTGCCTGCACGTGCTCAGGTCCTTGCTGGACTACTGGAAGAGCCAGCAGAACGACGAGGAGCCCGTGGCTGCCAGCCAGCTGTTGAAACCGCACACGACTTCCTCCCCACCAGACATGAGCCCGTTCTTTCTCCGCCAGTATGTGAAGGTGAGGCGTTTCTCTTCAGAGCGCCACTCCTGTTTATCACGCAGAACAGAGCACGCCTTATTCGGGCGGGCTGAAGGTGCCAAGGACAGAGCTGCGGGAGGCAGCCTGATTCAGTGGCGGGTCTTACTCAGCGAGACTGAATGAGCAGCCACTCTTCCCAGCCTTGCGCTGGGATTCTCATTCCTGAGAAATTGATGGGAATCAGACTTCTCATGTACTTTTGGCTTCAAAAAAGAACAGAGAGGGTACCAGCAACGTTGTCCTCCTGTGTCAGCTTGGGCCCTTCTCTCGTCAGGAGCGCTTTAAGGCAAACATGGGCTTCCTGATCAGATGACTCTGGGGACGCTGGGGTCCCTGGTTCTCCCTGCCAGTCCGCCTGGGGAATTCTATGCTCAGTAAGCCGCACCTCGTGTGTCTGTTTTGTAGGGCTGCTGTGAACATTGACTGGGTGAGCACAGTGCCCACCTCGCCTCGGCAGGGCGTTGTGATTTTCCCTTCTCTTCCATCTGAGGCCATGTGGTGGAATTGGATAGCTCTGCTTTGGAGAGCATGGGCACTGCTGTTTAACTGTTGGAATTTATAGGCAAAAATGTGAATCTGGTGTTGGTGCTCTTTTTTTTAATAACCCTTTGGTAGTTTTCCATAATTTTTAGACCAAATAATTCTTTGAGGATCCAACTATCTACACTGCTACCATGGCACACAGCTCAGGTGTGCCCATTGCCTTGGGACGCGCTAGTCCCAACTCTTCCTCTGCCCCGCTCTTTCCCCACCAACCTAGTTCCTGGTCTTTCTTCACAAGCCAGGTTAAGCGTTAGGTCCTTGGGAACCTTCCCCAGCGCACACTGCCCTCCTGGCAGATGTGATTGGGATGGGTTCTGGGAGTGTCAACTTGAACATGTGAGGCTTCCCCTCCAAGCTGTCAGCAAAGAGCGTATTTTATTCTTGTTGATAGCCCTTAAGCTTATCAGAGCTGACAGAGAGCTGTGACTGAGTGTGCAGGACATGTCCCTGCAACTGCCATGGACCCTTCCTGGAAGAACACATAGCTTGTGTTGGGCAGCCATTGTTTCCACTGTCCACAGGTGTCAGTACCCCTGCTCTCTTGGGTTTATTTAAATGTTCCATACTACTGTAGAATGTTTTGGTTCTCAGGAATGGAATATATGTCGTTGAAAGCCGGAAGTCTTTCCCCAGTGTCATTTTGTCCATTTTTGCCCATTCTAGCTCTTAATTTATGTGTCATCAAAAGCCAGAGTGAAGTATTAGAATTTCCACTGTCTCAGTGGTGACATTTGCATGGAACTAATTGCCCCAGATGCTGTGACCTTGCTGGTGGGGGCTAAGCTGCCAGGCAGCGATGACTGGTTTGGAAAGGCACCATCTGCCAATCAAAATCAGGCTTCAGAAGGCAAACGGCTAATCCTCCTATTTGTGGTAATGGAAAACTGGTACTTACATGCTCTCACACCAACGTTCTTCTCCTAGGGTCACGCTGCTGATGTGTTTGAGGCCTATACTCAGCTCCTAACAGAGATGGTACTGAGACTGCCATACCAGATCAAAAAGATCGCTGACACCAATTCTCGAATCCCACCTCCTGTCTTTGATCATTCCTGGTTTTACTTTCTCTCAGAGGTAAGTGAAGGTGCCAAGCAGTGTGCCAGCCAAGGAGAGAGGACGCCAGGGTTCTGGCTGGCTTTGTGGCCCTTTTCCATTCTGACCCTCATGTGACATTGCAGAGCCCCTCCCACAGAGTGTGATGTCAGCAAAACAAGCCATTCGCTTTAGTGTCTGATTCTGTACGTTACTCGGACCCCTTCCACGGTAATAATGGGCCGGTTGGATGACTTGGGCTCCGCTAGGGAAACAGTACACTAACTTAGCAGTTTTTAATATAGGGGATTGTTAAGCAGCTACTGGAATCCAGAACATTAAAGGTAATTCAGAGAGTAACTGCAGGAAGCAGCTTCCACAGCCCTGTGAGAGCAGTGACAGGTATCTGCCAAGCAGCTACTGTTGCCGCGCAGCTCCGGGGCATGTGCTGTGGCCGAGTGAGGGAGTTCTCAGAGAAGCTGGTGTTGGGGCTGACTCGCTGCTGGGGAAAGGGCTGTTGCTGGCATGGCAGCACAGAGGAAGGAGCGGGTCCCTTTCCCTTCTGCCATCCAGAGTCCCTCCGGTGCTTTCTGCAGGCAGAACCGAAGAGAGAGAGCCAGCTGGCAAAGAAGCAGTGTGGTTAGCCTAATTCTGGACTGGGTGTCACAACATGGGTGCTGGGTAGTTTTGGCTGAGAGGAGCTTAATAAGTGTAGGGGCATCTCTGGGGCGGAACAGCTGTTAGTAAATCCACTTAGGCCATTGCAGGGTGCACTGAGGTAGTAACCTAACCCAGCCTTTGCCCAGCTGTTTCACCTGAATAGGAGACTCTGCATGTTTTTCCTTTATAGTTTCACTGTGGGTAGGCCCAAGTGGATGGCAGCTTCCCTGCAAATTCCTAAGTACCGAGGAAGAGGAGCAGAAACACTTTTTCCTCTAGTTGGCTTCTTTCTTTCCGTGGTTTTGTTTCTCCCAGTCTTTAGGGATTACTCACTTCACCCAGGCCAACTTGGCTAAGAGGAAACGGCTTGGCTGTTTCTTACCGGTTTCCACTCACAGATCACAAACACCTTGGGAGCCATGACTGGTAGAGACATGGTCTCAGGGTCCTGCGCATAAGTGCCTTCCCTCCCTCCAGTACCTAATGATCCAGCAAACTCCATTTGTGCGCCGTCAAGTCCGCAAGCTGTTGCTCTTCATCTGCGGGTCCAAGGAGAAGTACCGCCAGCTCCGTGACCTGCACACTCTGGACTCACACGTGCGCGCGATCAAGAAGCTGCTGGAAGAGCAGGGCATATTCCTCCGGGCAAGCGTGGTCACAGCCAGCTCGGGCTCCGCCTTGCAGTATGACACGCTCATCAGCCTGGTACGAGAAGGGCCGGGTCTGGGCAGGGGAGGGGGCAGGCGCGGGGAGCTAAGGGCTTTTACCGTTCAGAGAAGTTGTGGTCAGGGATGAGACCCAGGCAGAGCCATGATAGCTGACCAGCAGTCATGCCTGGCAGCTCAGTGTGTGGGATGTCCCTCTCAGCAATCCTGCCCCACCTGGCATGTCTTCCTCCATTTCAAGGAGAGAGGCCTGAGCTTCTGCCTACTCTCAACTTGCTCATTTCATGGATACGAGAGTCAACCTAAAACTTTTGCACGAATGCTATTTATCCTTGAGTATTACTAGATAAATGATCGAGGTTGGTGCATAAAAATACCATACTGCTTCAAGAGAAAGGATTTGATTTTGAGCAGTGAATTGAATTATAGGTGGAAGCATCTAGAAAGAATGTCTAAATAATAACAGTGCTAATCTGGTGTCTTTGCTGTTGTGCCAGTGGGAGGAAAACGTACACTTTGTTTTCAGTAGTTTCTCAGCTCATGGCTTACCTGAGTGCCTTATGGAGCAGACTAGAAGTTTCCTAAAAGCAAAGGACCTTTGGTGTGGATCAAACGAACAAGTTTAGTTATGAACTACAGTGCTTGTGTGGGCCGTGGCCCCAGCTTGCCATGTGCTGGACCACCTGCATAGAGGGCCTTGTTCATTTTGCACCCCACAGCCCGGGTGGTGTCCCCTCTAGGCGGCAGGTACGGTGCTGTGTGGGAGGCTTGGCGGGACACTCAATTCTGTGATCGGCTCCCACTGCAGATGGAGCACCTGAAAGCGTGCGCGGAGATCGCCGCCCAGCGAACCATCAACTGGCAGAAGTTCTGCATCAAAGACGACTGTAAGCAGCGCTGCTTCTCTTGGTTACTGTTCTTCTCAGAGCTGCTTCCCGAGGCTCCTGTGTGCTTACTGTGTCGCTACGGGATGCTCGTGGTACAGCCATGGAAAGATACCTAGGCAGATGCTGCCGAGCAGAGTTGGCGAAGAGAGAGTCTTAAGGGAGTGATAATGGCCACAGGCAAAATCAAAGTCAGGCTGTCTGACTTCTAGATTAGTTGATGAAGCTACGAAACAGTATGGATTCTAGAGAATGGCCTTTTGCAAATGAGCGCGGGTGGACCACCTGCCTTCCAGTCGGTCTGTGTCTGGCTGGATGTTTCCCCAGAGGGTGTTTATTCTCGGCACCATCCGGCAGAGAGGAAGCGGGCAAGGGGGCTGGTGGGAACAGGGCAGTCCTGACTGAGTGGCGAAGTTGCACCTGTCCTTGAAGGTGTCTGGTTGTGGTCACCTTGGAGCTGAGCCACCCTCTCCTCTGCCTACAGCTGTCCTGTACTTCCTCCTCCAAGTCAGCTTCCTGGTGGACGAGGGGGTGTCCCCGGTGTTGCTGCAGCTGCTCTCCTGTGCGCTGTGTGGCAGCAAAGTGCTCGCTGCCCTGGCAGCCTCAGCAGGTTCCTCCAGTGCTTCCTCCACCTCAGCCCCTGTGGCCACCAGTTCTGGACAGGCTGCCACACAGTCCAAGTCATCCACTAAGAAGAGCAAGAAAGAAGAAAAGGAAAAGGAGAAAGAGGGTAAGAGTCTCCCTCTCGTCCGGGTCACCCGCGTGGTATGCTCTGATCTTCTCATGGAACACATGAATTAGTCTTGTTTGGAAAGGTCTTTTATCCTAATCTGTAAGGGACCTAAACGCCAAAGGCCCTCTGAGGCTCTTCTCAGTCACGTGGAAGGCGATCCCCTAAGCGGCGTGACTGCGCAGGGCAGTCGGAGCGCATGGAACATGTATACTGGGTCCCGTTTCTTCTGTAAAGCAACAGTCCCTGCTGTGTGGCGAGGCTGTCGGCATGACGTGAGACGTGCTCTGGGTGCACCTGGGAGGGCATTGACACAGGCTGGGCAGCCAGCCTGTGGCCACACAGCAGCAGCTTTTCTACTTGGCTGCTCTTCTGTTCTTGGACAGCTGAGAGGTGATGGGCCTGCGTGCCAGTGGAGGCGGCTCATGCTCTCTTGTTCCCAGGTACCGCCGTGAGGTCTCTAAAACATGGGCTGTTTTAGATCACAGACGTTTGAAAGGGAATTCCCCCTCTAGTGTGACTGGGTATTTAATTTAGCGCCAGGCCTTGGTAGGTCCTTTGTCCTGTACTGTTTTGGTGGCATTATGATGTCTGACTTGGGGCTGACCTTTTGTCCCCCAGTAAACAGTTGAAACTTCTAGAAATGGACACATCCTCTGTCCTCCCACGTAGAAACAGGGGCTTTAGGGCTCTAGATGACGACTTCTTCAGTCTCAGGCCTGTCCTGACCTCGCAGGTGAAAGCTCCGGCAGCCAGGAGGACCAGCTATGCACAGCTCTGGTGAACCAGCTGAACAAATTTGCAGATAAAGAGACCTTGGTCCAGTTTCTGCGTTGCTTCCTCCTAGAGTCCAATTCTTCCTCAGTCCGCTGGCAGGCCCACTGCCTGACTCTGCACATCTACAGGTAGGGCCCGGCTGGCTTTGGCAAAGTGGGTCTGGAGCCAGTGCAGACGGTGCCGCTCCCTGGGCTTTATGTTGCGTGCCGTGGGCCGCCGTGTCAGCACTACGCCAGCCCGAGCCCTGCTGACTGTTAGAGTGTCTGCTTTCAGCTGTTAAGCCGATGCCATAAGCAAGAGGTGATCCGGTTTCTACTGAAGGCTGAGTTTCAGTTGGTGAGGTGACCGGGCTTGCCTCTTAGGCTACAAAGCTGTGCTTCTGCTATTGAGAAATGCTGGATGATGGGAGTGGGCCACCTCCTGAAGATGGGAGAGGGCTGGCTGCCACCTCTGTTGGCATCAACAGAAGAGCTGCAGAACCATTCAGACTGAATGCGGTGTTGTGGGAAATAGATACACTCACAAAACACCGCCTGGGCTCTGGGTAACTACTCCATCTTGGGGGTTTTCTGCTGCTTGATAATATAAATTGTTGTTTATCTACAGAAACTCCAGCAAGTCGCAACAAGAGCTCCTCCTAGACCTGATGTGGTCCATATGGCCAGAGCTCCCAGCCTACGGTCGTAAGGCTGCCCAGTTTGTGGATCTATTAGGGTATTTCTCTCTGAAAACCCCACAAACAGAGAAGAAGGTAACAGTTGATTTATGGTCAAAAAACCTAACTTGCCATATTCTGCCTCTCCCCCTTGAGCCAGTCCTGGGTGAGCCACCCCCAGGAGGGTTGCAGATGAACTCTGCTGGTTTAGTTTCAGTGTTCTCCATATACCAGCAAGTATGGACACTGTGGACTTGACTTAGCCAATAAGTAGAGCAAAGTGGGGGAAGAAATGCAGCGCTCGTGCAACTTGCTCGGGAAAGAAGCTGCTGCTCTGGCACCCTGAGGGGGTTCCCAGAAGGTTCTGCCGGGAGTTGGCACGGTGCGGCTTCCCATGAGTGTGGACACCGTCTCCCCCACAGTGTCTGGAGAGGTGGGGCAGTCACCACGATCACGGGTGCGGAGCCCCCAGTGGCAGGGAGTCAGGCCCAGCTCTGATTCTGTAAGGGACTGAGAAGTCTGGTGTTTCTGGGCCAGCCTCGGCTAGAAAGCGAAAGACTAAAGCCCTCCCGCACCTTTCCCTCTTCCCCATTGACTCTGGTGCTCCTGTTGTAGCTGAAGGAGTATTCGCAGAAGGCACTGGAAATTCTACGCACTCAGAACCACATTCTCACCAACCATCCCAACTCTAACATTTATAAGTGAGTGTCCTTTCGCTTTTTCCTATTTGATGCTTGGTGGGTGGGCTGAGGGCTGTTTCTACATTGACAGCCTCTTACCTGTGAATCAGTAAGTCCTTGTCTAGTTGATGCTTGAATCCCTTGCAAACAAAAGTATTCAAAGTGTCTGGTGTGCAGTCCCCTAGAAGGTTTCTGGTTTGAAGAGTCTTAAGTCTGTATCCCATAGTTCACATGGAGTGACTGCATTTCAGAGACCGCACTGCTAGCGTTAGCTCAGCTCCCAAGTTGTCATTTCTCTGGCTTAATTTTCCATTCCCCCCCCCCCAACCTTTATTGAGCTATAGTTGATATGCCACCAAACTCACCTATTTTCAGTATTCAGTGGTTTTTAGAAAAATTGAGTCTTAGAGTCAGATTTTAACGTTTTAGGTTCCCACTGACCTCAGGACAGCTCAGAAGTCGTAGCTGTCTATGGTCAATGAACTGAAATTCCTCCCAGTGACTTTTAGACCCTGTTGGGCTTTCTTGTGTTCTCTGTGTACTCTGGGGGAGGGTTCCCTTTGGGGGAATTTGAACCAAGGTCTTTTCATGACTGTGTGGAAAGGGTTGCTTTGACGGTGAGGACTTTTTTATGCTGACACTGATTTCCTCCCTAGCACCTTGTCCGGCTTGGTGGAGTTTGATGGCTATTACCTGGAGAGTGACCCCTGCCTAGTGTGTAATAATCCAGAAGTGCCATTTTGTGTAAGTGACATCTGGAATGTGGACAATCGTGGGGCTTACAGGGCCAGGGGTTTCTTGCTTCGGAGACTGATTATTACCGCATAGATGTCTTCTCCTTAAGTGGGTGGTCATGAGTGGTGTGAGTCCTTCCCTGCCACTCTGGTTCCCTTAAATATTAATCCATGGATAAAGAGTTGATGGCTTTGCTGAATTTTGAAGATGGTAGGATGAACCTTCGGCCTTGAACTAACACAGTGTTTTCCATGTGCTCTTGTGTTTAGTATATCAAGCTTTCTTCCATTAAAGTGGACACACGGTACACCACCACCCAGCAGGTTGTGAAGCTCATTGGCAGCCACACCATCAGCAAAGTGACAGTGAAAATTGGGGACCTGAAACGGACTAAGATGGTGCGAACTGTCAACCTCTATTACAACAACCGAACTGTGCAGGCCATTGTGGAGCTGAAAAACAAGTACGGGCTTCTCAGGCTTGGGGCGGGGAGGCCAGCTGGTAAGACTCAGCGCCAGTTGTTGGCTGTGGTTGCTGGACTCAGGTCAAGCATGACCTCCCCAAAGGCCCTCTGGGTCCTCTTATTCCATCCAGTCACAACTGAGGGACAGAAGTGTGACACCCGCTCCCAAGGGTGCTGCCGGCGCTTGTTGGGAATGATGTCGTGAGCTCTGGGCACCTGCACCTGCTGCTGCTCAGCCTTCTGGGAAGGGGCACCCAAGTGGGGGCTCCCGGCTCTCCCCCCACGTTACTAGAGCAGTTGCACTTTTATACCAGGCGTATACGGGGCAGAGTCATGATTGCTTGGATTAAGAAGGCTCTTCCCTCGCTCACAGAGCAGGAGGCGTACTCCTCAGGAAGCTTCGTTAGTACATGTTCCTTCCTTTCCTGCCTGGCGCTTTGCGTTCGTATTGGTTACGTTGGCTCACAGAGCAGGAGGCGTACTCCTCAGGAAGCTTTGTTAAACATATTCCTTCCTTTCCTGCCTGGTGCTTTGCGTTCATACTGGTTACGTTGGTTCTTCCTAGCTCTGTGTTCACGGTCTAAATGAGAGCTAGTCACGTGGGCCAGAGAGGACCCGTAGCATAAAGTCTCAGCAGTGCTCTTAGAGAACGCAGATACTACTTGGATGTTACGATTTGGAAGTGTGGTCTTTGTCCATGAGGTGAAATAAAGCATATCAACAAGTGGCCTCTAGGACTTCTGCTTAAAGCCAGTTTTCTTCCTTGAAAGCAGAGTTGATGTTGGTGACCTATAAATTGAATCTGTTCATTGGAAAATCTTTCCTGCTGGAGGAGGTAGGTCTGATTTCCATTGTGTAGTCAGCGTGCAGCTGGTAAGCTCTCTGTCCCGGCTCCACTGCCTGTCTCTTCCGCCTTGGGGAAGTTCTGCAACTTCTGTGTCCTTTACTGCTAAATGGAGATAAATTCCCATTCAGGATGTTAGTTTAAGGATGAATGAGTTAGCTCCAGTGCTGGGAGCAGGTTGGCACATCATAAGTGCTCAGTGGTTTCTGCTCTCATTCTGTGAATACACTTACTGCTAAATTACGATGCACCTCTGCCTGGCACTTGGTTCACATCCTGCGTGGCATTCTGCCTCTCATGGCAGCTTGCCTTTCGTCCTTTCAGGGTGGTGGTTGTGATGGGAACTGAGTGCAGTGGTTAGCACTGTGTGCCTCTGGGGTTTCAGGCTTCCCTGTGATGAGCTTTTGAAATAATGTCCTTACTTTGATACTTGCTTTATTTTCTGTATCTCAGAAGTTATCATATATAACATTTTAGCACTTGTATGAGCTCTCCTCATTTTACAGAGAAAGGGCAGTGGTAACATTTCTTTTTTGAGAGTGGCCACTTCCTTGCCTTAGTAAAATGCCGTGGACAGTCTTTTCCTTCATCTCATCAGGCTGCCATCCCTGAGGGTTAAATGACAAGCTCTCAGGCTCCCACCTCTGTCTCACACTGTCTTTCCTAGGCCGGCTCGCTGGCACAAGGCCAAGAAGGTCCAGCTGACCCCTGGTCAGACAGAGGTGAAGATTGACCTCCCCTTGCCCATTGTGGCTTCCAACCTGATGATTGAATTTGCGGACTTCTATGAGAACTATCAGGCCTCTACGGAGACCCTGCAGTGCCCACGCTGCAGTGCCTCGGTTCCTGCCAACCCAGGGGTCTGTGGCAACTGTGGAGAGAACGTCTACCAGTGTCACAAATGCCGGTACGTGAGCGGTGTCGCCATGCCCGTTCCTTGTGTTTTTTCCCTGGGAGTCTCCGTTGGGCCATTTTAGAGCCTGTCTCACAGTCATCAGGAGCTTAAAGACATGGAATATAAGATGTGAGTGTGTGTGCACGAGCTTGCCCATCCTGTGGAAGGATTCCTTAGTTTAGTTCTGAGTCTTAATGGTGGCCTGAGTCTTCCTAGCCTGCTCGTTCCTGTCCCTCCTGGTGCCTGCACTAGTCTCCAAAGTGCAGATGTGGCAGAGTTCATCTTCACAGCATCCCGTCCCACCCACCAGACCTCTGCTCCCCCGACACAAACCTTTTGGTTCTTCAGGTCCATCAACTATGACGAGAAGGACCCCTTCCTCTGTAATGCCTGTGGCTTCTGTAAATATGCTCGCTTCGACTTCATGCTCTATGCCAAGCCTTGCTGTGCGGTGGATCCCATCGAGAATGAAGAAGACCGGAAGAAGGTGAGGCTGGATCCAGCCTGGTTACAGGGCAGTGATCCGAGCTTGGGCAGAGTGGGTGAAATGCAGCATGGGTTTTCTTCTACCTCATGTCATTCTCAACTCAACATTATTTTCAGGGTGCAGCTTTTGGGAGGGAGCAGATAACAGTGTAAGGTTGGCATAGGTTAGCAGCCTTGGTTGCAAGTGCTTGGTAATTTTTGCTCTAATTCTATGAATACACTCACTGCTAAATTACGATGCACCTCTGCCTGACTCTGCCTGGCACTTGGTTCACATCCTGCGTGGCATTCTGCCTCTCATGGCAGCTTGCCTTTCGTCCTTTCAAGGTGGTGGTTGTGATGGGAACTGAGTGCAGTGGTCAGCACTGTGTGCCTCTGGGGTTTCAGGCTTCCCTGTGAATCATGGGGCAAATAGCTTTGGATCTGGAAAAGCAGAAAAATTGGATGACTTCCTTTGAAGCTGTTGGCTAATACTGGCGTGTCCAGTGGCTAGTTCTCGGCTAGGATGACTTGGTGGGATGACTGTTAGAGGAGACCGTGAAGAGGGGCCTCTTGGCAGCTACCAGAAGTGGCGTGGGCATGCAGGGGGCCGCGCAGCTCTGCACACGTGAGGCCCATGGTTCAGGTTCCGCTGGATTTTGTGATATTGTGTGACCTGGCAGAAATTCTCTTTCTCAGCATTGTACGTTATGTGTATATTGTATTCTCACTCCATGCCCACAGCATATTACTGAAAATAACATACCCACCTCAGAGTTACGGTGAGGAATAGAAACAACACGAATGCAGTGTCTGTGGGGAACATTTCAGTAGACGGCTAGCAGTTCAGTTTATGCAGGGCAGCTCCATCCTGAAGCCTTCACTCATGTCCTGCCAGGCTGTTTCCAACATCAATACCCTGCTGGACAAAGCGGATCGGGTGTACCACCAGCTGATGGGACATCGGCCACAGCTGGAAAACCTGCTCTGCAAAGTCAACGAGGCAGCGCCTGAGAAGCCACAGGTAATCCTGGGCCCGAGGGCCATGTCGGGGGGCACCGGATCTGAATCAGGAGAGAAGACTGTCCCTGGGGGAGGCCGACGGCACGTGGCTCACTGCTCACTCTTGCAGGATGACTCGGGAACGGCTGGGGGCATCAGTTCCACTTCCGCCAGCGTGAATCGGTATATCCTGCAGTTGGCCCAGGAGTACTGTGGGGACTGCAAGAACTCTTTTGATGAGCTCTCCAAGATCATCCAGGTAGTGAGGTGGGGGCAGCTCTGGGGTATGCGCGCTGGTGTCACTGGCAGTGTTCAGAGCAGTCCTGCGCTCGGCAGCAGTTCAGCTTGGGCGCGGCCCTTGTCCACCAGCGGAAGGTCTCCCATCGCAGCTGTGGCGCGTAACGGGAAACAGAATAGTGAGAATGATGGGGGTAGCTACTGAAATGGTTTTCTTTGACCACTAACTGTCTTTTAGGAGAGAGGTTCCTGGTTTAAAAAAAAAAAAATCAGATGCCTTGTTTTCCGATAGATCCTGCTGCAGGCTCGAAGGCGGCGCAGACCCCACTCAGCCCGCGGGGTGGATGGCGGGTGCCGCTGTAGAGGGCTCGTTGCCATGCACCGAGGCTGGCGCATACAGCAGAGGAGCCGGTTTCCTGCTTCTCCTCCCCACCATGTCACTCCCCTAAAATTTGGCAGCGTGGGTCTCTTCTGACCTCTGCCTTTGTTTTTTGCTTGGGAGTTAAGGGCATGTGCCTGCAAGCAAAGACAGAGTTCTGTCTCTGCCACTCAGTCTCGGTCAAAGCCAGCTTGCTTTGTTCTCTGTAACGGGGGAATAGCGCCTTTACTGGGTGGAGTTTCCAAGAAGGTTCAGTTACGTGGTGCCCATGAAGTTTTGTTTTAAAACAAAGCTTTCCACTTGACCTTTTCTTTTTCCTTAGTTTAATGGCACCTTTCTTTCTCCTTTGTATTTGTTCTTAGAAAGTTTTTGCCTCACGCAAAGAGCTGTTGGAATATGACCTGCAGCAGCGGGAGGCGGCGACCAAGTCGTCCCGAACCTCCGTGCAGCCCACCTTCACCGCCAGCCAGTACCGCGCCCTGTCTGTCCTGGGCTGCGGCCACACGTCGTCCACCAAGTGCTACGGCTGCGCCTCGGCCGTCACGGAGCACTGCATCACTCTGCTCCGGGCCCTGGCCACCAACCCGGCCCTCAGGCACATCCTCGTCTCGCAGGGCCTCATCCGGGAGCTCTTCGACTACAATCTCCGCCGAGGCTCTGCGGCCATGAGGGAGGAGGTCCGCCAGCTCATGTGCCTCCTCACTCGGTCAGAGCCTGCGCCTGATTCCTAAGGCCGGGGGTTGGCCGGGGCGCCGGGAGCGCTAGGGGGTGCGGGCTGCTCGTAGGAGAGACAGGAGCAAACTCGGGGAGCGCCAGCAACTCCATTTCACTGTTAATAGGGTCTCGGCTTGCCCCTGGTTCTCCCTTCCACAGTTTCAGACAGCGCGCCAGCTGCTGGCTGAACGAGCTACGGGGCTTTCAGGTGCCCTGCCGGGGGGGCTGAGGAAACCCCCCACCTTCACATGACTTTCTTGCAGTGCAGTGCTGTGACGGTCGATTCAGTCAGTTGATACTGTCGCTCTCGTACTGTGTGAGCTTTATAAATTAGGCTTTATCACAGGCATGTTTAGGAAAAGCATAGTTTATGATAGTGTTCAGTATGGCTTCAGGCATCCTGTAGTCTTGAAACCTATCCCCTGTGGGTAAAGGGAGGCTAACAACCGTCGCAGGGAGATTTCCTGAGTGCCGGGGAGGAAGGCGGGGTGAGTGGGCACTCGGACGCAAGACTCGCGTGAGAGAGGAGAAAAGCCTCGTGACGGAGTGCGGGCTGCGCTGTGTCTGATGTTTGTTCTGTGCGCTGAAGCCAGTTACGCCGCTTCTCTGAGCGCGAGTTTTCATCTGCAGACTACTGATAAAGGCCTGAAAGGCTGTGGTGAGGATGCAGTGGAACAGTTCGTGGAAGTAATGACTTGGCCTGGTGGGGTGCTTGGTCTGGTACCAGAGCTGTCTGGGTTTACTTAATGAGCTTTGGTACGCATCTCTGGAGCATGCGGTAGTCAGTATTACTTGCTGTATTATTTGTTCTCAAAATTAACTTTTATTGAGCATCTGCTGAATGCCAAGAGTTGTTCTAGCCTGAGAATTGGTGGTCAATGAAACAGTCCCTGCCCTTGTGGTACCTGCTGTTCAGATGGGGAGCAGAGCAGTAACCGGTCATTACTTGTAAGTGCAGCATCAGGAATCTAGACTGAAGAGAAGCAGAGCTGAGCTGCGTCCTGATTGTGGAGGGCTACTCAGCAGGGCACAGTCGGGGGCCTCTGAGGGCCAGGCTTGTGCACAGACCTGGGTTACAGTGGGTGAGCCAGGCAGACATGGAAGACGAGGGTGGTGTGCACTGGGGACAGGAGGGGACTCGGGGATGGTGCGGGCGAGGTGGAGTGGGCCGAAGGACACCGTGGGGGGCTGCAGGGAGGGAGCTCGCTGGGGACCAGATCCAACCGGTCATTGTGAGGACTTTGGATTTTGCGCAGTGGCGTGGGAAGCAGACATGAGAAGATGTGCCTTTTGCTCTCATTCGTGTAACCTTGTTCACAAAGGAGCAGGAGAAGCGGTGGAGGCAGAAGGCAATGAGAAAAATGATGTGGCCGTGGCTGGGGATGGTGCTGGGGCCTGTAGCGCCCGGGGCCTCTGCGCTCTGCAGCAGTTTGGGGAGAGAATGTCCCAGATGTGGGTGCTGCTTTCCTTCAGGGTCTGCGGGCCGATGATGGGCCCTTCTTAGTGCAGGGGTGTGTGAGGCTGGAGATTTAGTCTTGCCTTGGAAGACCACTGATTTCCTTCTCCCCGGGTTCCTTCACATGGAGAGGAGAGACCCAACTAATGGGTGAGTAATAGGACTGTTTCTTTCTTCCCCAGAGATAATCCAGAAGCCACTCAGCAAATGAATGACCTGATTATTGGCAAAGTCTCCACAGCCCTGAAGGGCCACTGGGCCAATCCTGATCTGGTGAGCAGGCCAGTTTCCCCTCTGACTCCTCTTTTACTTGCGGGGCTTCCTTATGCCAGTCTCATGTGATGGCTGAGGAGGGAGCAGCAGGCCCTCTGCAGAACTCACATCTTAGATGATTTTCCCAGGTGGAGCTCACTTCTGAGGAAGGGAGAAACAGGTGACGGGCTCTTTATACAACAGCCTTCTCTCCTTTTTCTGTACTGCCACTTGGAGTGGACGTGTTAGCACTGAGTCCCCAGGTCATAGGCCCCAGACCTGGGACTGACCCTTCAGGGCCTCTTCTACTCGTGACTCTTCCTGTTGGCCTTGCAGGCAAGTAGTCTTCAGTACGAAATGCTGTTGCTGACAGATTCAATCTCGAAGGAGGACAGCTGCTGGGAGCTCCGGCTGCGCTGCGGTGAGTTCAGGGACCATGTAGCTAGAAGGTGGCGTCCTGGCCACGGAGGGAGAAGCAGGGAAGGCCATACTCGGCCAGCCTGGCAGGAACAGGTAGGGAGGGTTTTCTGTTTGTGACTCACGCCCCTTCCCGTTTCCAGCACTCAGCCTGTTCCTCATGGCTGTGAACATTAAGACCCCCGTGGTGGTTGAGAACATTACCCTTATGTGCCTGCGGATCCTGCAGAAGCTGATTAAACCGCCGGCTCCAACCAGCAAGAAGAACAAGGTACTGGGCCAGCCTGGGGGTCCGAGAGGGAGGAAAAGACACGCAGACTGCTCGTGCCCAACCAGCCTGGGCCCTGCCTCTTAACAGCCTCTCCGTCACCCCGAACTCATTTGGGGGTCACCCACACTTCTTTCACTGCAGTTCAGCAGAGACGGGTTGACATTTTGGGGAAGGAAGTTTTTCAGGGGAAAGTTGAGTGAAACATGTGTAGAGTAGAGCAGTTAGCCTTGGAGGGCTGCCTCTTTCTCCAGGCAGGCCAGAGGATTCTGTCTCCTGATCTGTGGAAGGGGAATCTGGCTTCCACCTGAGAGAGTTGTGAAGGAAACTGACTTGGTGCAGATCACATTCTATCCTTGCTAATAAATGTCATTTGTGGTCAAGTGCTGTTTTCCTGTCTAGAATGTTCTTCACTTTGTGAGCTGCTCCTTGAGAGATCCGTTTCTTTGCTAGACTCCTTGAATCGGGGCCTGCCTTAGTAATATTTTTGGTTTCCATTGTATAGGGTGGTATTTGTCATATAATAACCACCTCATAAATAATTGCGAGGGGAATGAATGGATTTTGTGTAATATACTTTTCTTTCCTAACTATGTATCTGTGAGGCAAGCTTTTTTCTTTTCACATACTTCATCCAAAACAACACGGCCGTTAGAACTCGGTCACCTGTGAGAATCTAGCTGCCTCGGGAAGGCAGTCATGAACTAGTTTTCAAAACCATAAAACAATGCCATCCTTCATCTAGGTGATTTCTGTTTTGGAAAATAGAAAATGTTGAAAAATGTCATTAAGTTTGTAATGATTTTACTTTTTAAATGAATGAATATTTGAAGAATTTCTCAGCCTTCATTTAATAAGTAAATATTGAAAGCTCTTTAGAGTTCTCAAGAGTAATGAGAGCTTGAGGCCAAAACATATGAGATGCACTGGCTGAGGGTGTTGTCTGGGGCTCTTGGTGGCTTAGGCTGGTGCTGGTTACTACGGACTCTGCTTGGGACTTCGGAGACCCTTGGAAATGCCTGTTTGGGAAACTGCAGGTCAGCCTTGGTGCACGGATGACCTCAGGAGCCAGCTTCATCTCACCTGCACCGCACAGGCCACCCTAGAGCCCAGCGTGGGCTGTGCTGAGCTATGGGATGGGTCAGAGGGCTTTACAGGGGCATGGAAGATGGGAACGCCGTTCCTTCTGGTCTTCTTGCCCTTTGCTTGTCCCCTTGGGCGTCAGTGCTGCTGTGCTGCTGCGGTGGCTCTGGTGTGCGCTGTCACCCTGTCCCGTCTCTTCTAGGATGTTCCTGTGGAGGCCCTCACTACAGTGAAGCCATACTGCAATGAGATCCACGCCCAGGCTCAGCTGTGGCTCAAGAGAGACCCCAAAGCGTCCTATGAAGCCTGGAAGAAGTGTCTCCCTATTAGAGGTGTGCCTGTCTCTTACGCACATGCCAGTCTGTCCTGCCGCCGGCCTGAGAGCCCTGCAGCGCCCCTCCCCCTTTTGGGCCTTTACTCACCCCTCCCTGTACCCCTTGGCCTGGCAGGTTTAGATGGCAACGGGAAGTCCCCCAGCAAATCGGAACTGCACCATCTCTATCTGACTGAGAAGTACGTGTGGAGGTGGAAGCAGTTCCTGAGTCGCCGTGGGAAGAGGACCTCCCCCTTGGACCTCAAGCTGGGCCACAACAACTGGCTGCGGCAGGTGAGCGAGCTCGGCCCTAGCGCGTGTGGCTGTCCCTCCGCAGTCGCTCCCCTCTCTTTGCTGGTCTTGCCTCCTTCCAGACAGGTGGTAGGGTGGTGTCCCGTGGGGGCTGGCTGGATCAGGGTGTCCACGGCTCGTCGTGCTCTCTACTCCTTCCCGAGCGCTCAGTGAGACTGGCCTCAACACCTGTGCTCCACTCTCCTCCATCTTCTCTTGTCCTGTCCCTGGTCTTTCTAGCTAATGCTTTGAAAGAATAAATATAGAGGCCCTCCCCGGTGGCGCAGTGGGGTAGGACACAGCACTGCAGGCCGGCCACAGCCGCTTCAGTGTGAGTTCGATCCCTGGCCCCAGCAGACCTCTCCTGACCTGCCCGCTGCTCCCCTGGGCAGGGTACTTCGTTAGTTACCTACCTATTCTGCTCCCCACTCGGTCCCTGGTGAATCCTCTCACCACCCCTGCACCTCTGGCCTGTACCCCAGTTCTGTATGTATAAATAAATAAATCATTAAAAAAGAGAGAGACTAAATATATAGAGCAGCCAACTTTGAGAGCACCTGTTTGTCTGCTGATACGTAAGAGGAACTTGGTTTACGTAGTGTGTAAGTATCCCGCGTGTAGGTGTCCCCGTGGAAGACCTGGCATCGGAGAACACCGCTTCTCTTTGACCTGGGTCATGGTCTTAGCTGTCTTCTCCAGGTCACTTGCTGGAGTAGACCTCCAAGAGAAGCAGCCTCTGAGCAGCCTCTTTCCCAGACTGCACTAGTCGGGCCTTACATTAGCTGGTGGTTTTCCCCTTGAACCTGGTCCTGAGGAGGGGCCAGACTTCTGGGTGAGGGGCGTTGATGGCGACTGGGGTCTGTTGAAACAGACCGGCCCTGATGGGCTTCTCTCCCGTGCCTGTAGGTGCTCTTCACACCCGCAACGCAAGCCGCGCGGCAGGCAGCCTGCACCATCGTGGAAGCACTGGCCACCATTCCCAGCCGCAAGCAGCAGGTCCTCGACCTTCTCACCAGGTACCACTTGAGAGGGGAGGGAGGGTGCTCAGACTTCATCTGGCTTCTCCCTCTTTCCTGGGGGATCTGTAGCGCAGGCTGAGGGACACTCTGGGCCGTAGCCACCTGCTCCCCATGGAGGCCAGAGGGCGTAGGCGCATTGCAAGCTGCGGCCCTGCCCCCAGCGTGCACCGGCTGCGTTTCCTTGCTTAGTCCTCGTTTGAGCAGCACGGGCTTGACGGGTTCGATTAGCCCATCTGCTGGAACGCAGATTTGAAACTAGGCATTCAGTTCCAGAGCCCTCGTGGTGACCACTCGGTGTCACCTGCCTTACTGTGATCGTAGCTGCAGGCTCGCGGCCTGCGTGGCCGCCACTTACGTTTCCATGCTCGCTGTTTCAAGCCCTTGGGCCTTCTTAATGCTTCTTGTGCTCTGAGTTCTTCCGAGCATGAGGGTTCCAAAGCGGGAAGTTTGGGGTCTTCTTGAGTGCCTCCATCTTTTAGAATAAAGGGGTTGGGGGGAGGCAGAGGAGAAGGGCTGCGGAAGACAGGCAGACAGGAGCTGTCAGAGCTACTGGCGCTCCTCACCCTCTCATGCCTGTCTCTCGGCACCAGTTACCTGGATGAACTGAGCGTGGCCGGGGAGTGTGCGGCCGAGTACCTGGCTCTGTACCAGAAGCTCATCAGCTCAGCTCACTGGAAGGTCTACTTGGCAGCACGGGGAGTGCTGCCCTATGTGGGCAACCTCATCACCAAGGTATCCTCCCCTCGGGGACTCTTCCCTAATTCTCCTTTCAGCGTACACTTTGATACATACAATTCATGGTGTTCCATTTTACTAAAAAGAGCTGAAAATGTTATTTTAATGACCATTATATTTCTATCGAGCTGTAGTGTTCTCCAGGGGGCGTCCAGGTGGTGGCTGGCTTGCCAGCCGGTCTTGACATCCTAGTGGCTGTCCTAGGAAAGGAGTCCTGCAGAGCCCGCCGGAGAGGGCTCGTAGCCCACACATCGGCGCCTGTGGAGAGAGGGGGGCCGCCAGCTCCTGGGCCAGTGGTGGAGTCGGCCGTCATTGCCAAGCCTCACACTAACTGTTTGTCATGCTGTGTAGGAAATTGCCCGCTTGCTAGCCCTGGAGGAGGCCACTCTGAGCACTGACCTGCAGCAGGGCTATGCCCTCAAGAGTCTCACAGGTACCTGGGGGCGCTGCCTGCCTGTCATGCTTGGAGCCTGGGTCTCATTTGGGACTGACGCTTTGGTCCTTGGTTGCTGGGGTTGACTCTTCCCTCCAGTGGTGACCACGGTGGGAGAGGAGCCCTGCACCAATGCTCCTCACTCACGGGCACACGTTCACTGCCAGTCTGCCATCAGCCAGTTCCCCGAGAGCCTGCTCCCTGCAAGCACAAAGATAACATTTCCCTGCTTTTGAGTTGCTCATTCCTCTTTTGGAAGGTTGTGCCTTTCTTGCGTACATTCACCCCAGCGCCTGCAGCAGTTTTCCTGTCCCCACAGGCCTCCTCTCCTCCTTCGTCGAGGTGGAATCCATCAAAAGGCACTTTAAGAGCCGTTTGGTGGGCACTGTGCTGAACGGGTACCTGTGCTTGCGGAAGCTGGTGGTGCAGCGGACCAAGCTCATCGACGAGACCCAGGATATGCTGCTGGAGATGCTGGAGGACATGACCACAGGTAGCTGCCCAGCGTGGGGCTCCTGCCCCCGCCTGCCTGGGCGCCGGAGTCTGACTTCCCCCGCCACCCAATGCCAAACATTAAAGGAAGATAATTTCCTTTATCAGTAATTTGCTTGGGAGAAAGGAAGGGTTATTTCTAGTACACTCCTCCCAGCAAAGGGGTAGCTCTTTCAGGGCACCAGCTTTATGTATGTGGGGCATGGGTCCTGCTAGACTTTTTACTTTGCAAGATTTGGGGCTTTGCATTTGGCTTTTAAATCTTGGACACCAAAGGTCAAGGCCAAAACTAATCTCATTATTCTATTAACTTCCTTGGACTTCTGATTTCTCTTAAAGGTTAGCTTTTTATTCTTTGTTAGTTTGGTGGTTCCCTAATAATTCTTTATACGTTATTTAAAGTTACTTTTAAGTGCTGATGAGGGGGGAACAGGACAGGGAATATATGTAGCCTGCTTAGTGCCAGGAATGGAAGTTCTTCTCAATGTTATTTTCATCAGGCCTTGCTGAGGTGGCTTTTGGCTTTGTCAGTTGGATTTTGTGTGTGTGTGTGTGTGCGTGTGTTTTTAAGATTTATTTATTTATGCATTCAGAACTGGGGTACAGGCCAGAGGTGCAGGGGAGATGACAGGATTCACCAGGGACAGAGTGGGGAGCAGGACAGGCAAGTAGATGAAGTACACTGCTGAGGGGAGCAGCGGGCAGGTCAGGAGAGGTCTGCTGAACCGTGTGGTCACCTCTGGGTAAGACAGGGATCGAACTCATGCAGAAGTGGCTTTAGCTTCTTAGTGCTGTGCTTTAACCCGCTGTGCCACCAGGGAGAGCCGGATTTTGTTTTTAAGATCGTATTTCTTCCTCCTTCTCTGTCCTAAAGGCGTCTCTTTGGCTTACAGGGAGCAATCTGCTCAGTCTTGTAGAATGAAGCTTTAAACTTTTAACTTCTCTTTGTTAAAGAGAAGTCCACAGTCTCAGTGGAATACTGTTCAGATTGTCCTTTGGTATTTTTGAGTTCCAGTGCTGGGCAAGGATGCCCCCTGAACAGAGCATAGTTCCTTTTCTAAGAAGGTTACACTTTTGTGGGGGCGCAGACCTGTACACCACGAACCATGGTGTGCTGCATCGGTGTGGGCATAAAGGCTTGAGTGGAATGTTGCCGTGTACGAATTAGTTTCAGGTTTCTAGCTGAGTATTGGTATCACCAAGTAGAGCGTTAAAGACTAAAGACAGCACTGGGATTAAAACCAGCACTGACAGTGATGGTTTCTGTATGTGAAGCTCTGTCCTAACTGACTCAGCCACTTTCCTTCTGCCAGGTACAGAATCAGAAACCAAAGCCTTCATGGCCGTGTGCATCGAGACAGCCAAGCGCTACAATCTAGATGACTACCGGACTCCTGTCTTCATCTTTGAGCGACTCTGCAGCATCATTTATCCGGTGAGTGGTGGTGTTCTCAGCGTGTCAGCATGAACTGTTTGGCCACGAAGCCTCTTGGTGAATCACTGTAGTGCGGGCGTGGGTGGCCCTCATCCTCTCAGAAGGCTCCTCTGCCATGCAACAAGGCAGCCTCATAACCCCTCTGCTCTTGTGAGGGAGCTCTAGTGGGCATTCTTGCTCTCATTTCCTAGACTCAAGGTCAAGAACCATTTTGTTTTCTCTTAATCTAAGCCTCACCTCCTGTTGCCCAAATCCCAGTGCTTATTAGTCCACTGTGATGTGAAAGAAGCAGTGGTGAGCTCGAGGACAGAAAAATCTCCCTCGCCCTCAGCGGCTCCCCTGGAGAGAGGCATTGTCTGGCCCGAGGCTGCCTGTGACTGAGAGAGATGAACCACCTGCATCACAGCTAGTGCTGAGGGACCAGCAGGGCTGTGCACGCCTCGTGGCATGGGAGAGGCCCTTCTCGTGACCCTCCACCCACGTCTTGATAGGTGTCTTCTGACACGTCCTTCTGTCTGTTCTTTAGGAGGAGAATGAAGTCACCGAGTTTTTTGTGACCCTGGAGAAGGATCCCCAGCAAGAAGACTTCTTACAGGGCAGGATGCCTGGAAACCCGTACAGCAGCAACGAGCCAGGCATCGGGCCGCTCATGAGGGATATCAAGAACAAGATCTGCCAGGACTGTGACTTGGTGGCTCTCCTGGAGGATGACAGTGGAATGGAGGTAACAGACTCAGGACGGTGCTGCCGTGACTGAAAGCTTGGGCTGGCACCGGAGACAGATGACTCGCTGTGTAGCTGATCAGCCTTGGGCAGGCGCTTGCTTCACTTCCTCACCTGAAAATGGGGCTGATGATTCCCACCTACCTACCTCAGCTGGTGTGAAAGTTAATGACTTGTAAAGGACTCTGCTCAGTGCCTGGCGCCTGGTCAGGGCACAAGCAATATTGGGGTTCCTCTGGCTCCCCAGCACTGCAGATTAACTGTGCCCTGAGTGCCAGCACTTTAGCCTTGTGCAGGTGTCTGGGCAGTACTGACACCTCTGCAGGCCACTTGTGTGGGCTAGCTTTGCTGGCGTATTATAACGAAAAGCCTGTCAGGTGGCAGAGAGAAAATTGCTTCTTTGGGTCCTGAGCCTGAAGTGACTCAGAATAGGAGAAGGCCCATAGCAGGGCTTGTTAACCTTAGAGTCCATGGTTTAGGCTCAGGGAGTTTATGACCCTTGCAGTGGTGAACAGAATTCTGTGTTGGTCAGATGTGCAGTTTTTAGTGGGAAGAGTCATAGGCCCACGACACATAAGCAGTGTGGATCACGAGTCACTGCCACAAAGTGCTCTTGACTTGACATTCACTTGCCTTACAATTATTTGGAGTAACAGCCTCACCTCCTCTCTGCTCAGCTTCTAGTGAACAACAAAATCATTAGTCTGGACCTTCCCGTGGCTGAGGTGTACAAGAAGGTCTGGTGTACCACGAATGAGGTACGTTCTTGTTCTCTTGCTTTCCTGACTTAATGCAAACTGTACCAGAGAAGGTGCTGGCAGTCATCACGTAGCTAGCAGTGCTTCTGGAGCTTTCCTTCCCCTCCTGGCGGTTATGTGGAGAAAATAGTCCCTTTGCTCCTTTCTGTGGTATCGCTGAGAAGATAGAAGAGCTTTCGCGGAGAGAGGACCGGCTGTCCTGGCTGCACAGCTCAGGCTGAGCAGTGTGAGGAAGCTCCCTGGTGGGCCCTTCAGGGGTGCCCACTGGGATGCTCCTCAGAACCCGTTCCAGAGGCTGTGTCAGGGAATGCACAGCTTGTGTTTTGCAAGTTGGGGAACTGAGACTCAACCAGGCCGTTCCTCCCAGGGAGGGGAAGGGGAATGAAGGGAGCGCATGTTCCGGCCCTTTGTGTCCCTCACAGTCCCAGGGAGTCTGGCTTCCTCTCCCCACCCCGGTCTCTCTCCTCTCGGTCCTCCTTTCTTACCTCACTATCTCCTTTCTTTCCCTTCATTTCTTTCTCTTTATTAGGAGGATCTTTAGTAAAGGAGACAAATAAATAGCTTAGCAAACTCATGTACTCGTAAAGTGCACAGGAAGCGTTTCTAGATTTCACCCCATTTATTTCTGTAGAGTTTACAAAACTGAATTGGTAGTATTCTTGGCCTTTAACTTGTTACATACTTTTGCCCCTCTTTTCTGCGCACTGCACTGGCATTCCCGGTGGCCTTGACCCTGGGCAGCTCTGTAGGCAGCGGGCACGCTGCCGAAGGTGACCTTGCCTGTGCCTCTTGTCTCCGCCTTTCAGCGTAAACCACAAAGATACAGATTTAGTCCCTGATCGCATAAAAATTTGAGAACAAAGGTCTGTGGGTACCATTTTAGATGAGGTCCAGAGAAAGCACATGAAACACCGCTCCTTTTGGGCCGTGAGGCAAGAGACTTTGGGGATTGATTATTCGGTTGGATGTTGCCTCGCTGGGCAGCTCTGGGAAAGTCCAGCTTGTCACACTTTCTGAGATTTCCTTTCTGCCTCCTGACTTCCCTGATGGGCAGTCTGCTGTAGCTGCTAACGAGCGCCTCTTCGGGTTTTTGTCCCTTTCTGTCCATGGGCTTGGGCCAGTCTCTCTCCCAGATGCCCCATTGGGCCTCCACAGATGGAGACGCTGCTGGATCTGGCCTTTTGACAGGTTCCTTCCATCTGGGGCTTCGTCTCCTGAAACCAGGCAGGGCTTGGAGGCAGGCGGCTTCAGTTCTCTCACTTAGTTCCCATCATGAGCACCCAGGCCTTTCCTTCCCATCTTCAGAACGATGGTGGCGGCAGACGTGCCGGAGCGCTTCGCTCCGTACTGGCGCGCAGTGGACTCGGTGAGCCTCCCACCTTAGTAATGGGGGCTGCGTCCTCTCCGTGCGTGTTGTAGGGTGACCTCAGGAGCTTCAGGGGCCGAGATTGCTGTTGTCTCTTTTCTGTTTGTCCTGGCTCTTTTGAGTGTGGCCTCTCCTGCTTGGAGAGTGCATCTGTTCCTGAAGGAGGCTCAGGCTCGGAATGAGGCCTGGACTCATAGCTAGGTAACTTCGTGTAAGGTTAAATGACGTGTATAGGATCCGGCATAGGGTGAAACAGTCCATAAACAATCTTAACCACTACATAGTTTAAAGAAATTAGATAAAATTGTGTTACAGAATGCTTCACATAATCTCCGCCCCATAGGTGACGCTAAGTAAAAGGCTTCCTTCCCCCTGAGTGAATGGCTGTGTATTTAGGTTCTGGATGTTGTGGTGAAGACCTTATAGATAAGTAGAAGTGGCAGCATGGCTGGGGCTCTGAACAAGACCAGGGCCTGTGCGTTTTCTGGGCCTGTTCATAAGCAGTTTTCTCCAACTTAGGGAGAGCCCATGAGGATCGTTTATCGGATGCGGGGGCTGCTGGGTGATGCCACTGAGGAGTTTATCGAGTCCCTGGACTCTACCACAGGTAGGATACCCTTCACAGACACTGCTACACATGGGGTTCGAGGTTTGAGGCCAGTGAACTAGTCACATCTAGGACTTAGGGGTCTTGGGGGCATTTTGCCGCAAGTCAGAACTGAGGGGAGGTTACTTCTCCAACTTGAGGAGCACTATCTATAAGCTGATTCAGACACCCCGGCGGGGGAGGAAACGTTGGGAAAAAATGCAGTTAGTAACAGGCTTGAGATTCACATTAGCTTAGTTTTTTAGCTCACTGGTGGATGTGGTGTGTGCTTTTATTTTCACATGTGTAAATGTAACTGAGTAAAGCTCCATCTGGGAGTGAAATAGTGTAATTTAATACCCAGTGTTGGCTCTTTTTATTGTCTGGTGGGAAAGGGGGCTAGTCATTCTGGGAGAGAGCTCTCTCCAGTCCCTTCTTCACCTCCCCCTTCATATCTGCTGTCTTCCCTTCTCCCCAGATGAAGAAGAAGATGAAGAAGAAGTGTATAAGATGGCTAGTGTGATGGCTCAGTGTGGCGGCCTGGAGTGCATGCTTAACAGACTTGCTGGGATCAGAGATTTCAAGCAGGGGCGTCACCTTCTAACAGTGAGTGAAGGCAGCGAGCGGAGCTTTGGGAAGGCCTCTGGGAGAGACCCTGGAGGACAGCACGGAGCCATGACAGGGCAGCCAGGAAGGACCTGGCCATTGCCTGAGTGCTCTACACTTCAGACTATTTCCTCCATTTCCCTCCTCCTGGTCCACGACCCAGAGAACCAGTGTGGCGACAGCATTCTGCTCCGTCTGTCTCGTCAGCTGCGGAGTTGGCATCTAGTTGTCTTTTCCCAAAACGCTGTGCTTGTCTTTTGGTGGTGGTGGTGGTGTACAGTGGTGGTTTTTTAAATAGGTTTGGTAAGCAGCCCTTTCTCACGTGACTTTGTTTGGGTGATCATCTACCTGTTCGCGAGAAGTAGAGGATTCCAAATACTGTGCTGTCATTTTTCCCCTCCGAGGAATTTGAGAGCGTGCATCCTTGTATCCATGTTCGAAATGGCCTGTGTGGTTCTGTGTTTCCACAGGTCATGAACATCAGCTTGCTCGCTGCTATTTTGGGGTCTGAGTCCGTACTGCAGTCCCCCTCGAGAACAGAGTGCCCCCATGGCACTCTAGCCACTAGAGGTGGGAGGTGGGGCTAGCCCTGACTAGCATGTGACCTAAACTGCCAAGCTGGTGTGAGAGCCTCGCCGTCCTCCCATGTCCCCTAGTATGCCTGTCCCTGCCGACCTCTGCTATCAGAAGCGGAATCTGCTGGTCCCTTTGACCTTTCTCTCCTGTGTATCCCCACAGCTTTTGCGCTCAGATGGTCTCGGGGGTTTTGACTGTGTTTTCCTGACAGGTGCTGTTGAAACTGTTCAGTTACTGTGTGAAGGTGAAAGTCAACCGGCAGCAGCTGGTCAAACTGGAAATGAACACTTTGAACGTCATGCTGGGGACTTTAAACTTGGTAAGAGTGTTGGTTGCAAAAGATAAAAAACGTGCCTTGGAAATCCTTAATTGGGGCAAGACATCTCAATTCTGGACTCCGATGAAATGGTTTTCCTCTCCAGGCCCTTTATGTGTCTGGCCGACTGGCCCCGAGGCTGTGGCCATTCAGGCTGTCCCCTCCTCCCTGTGCTGCCGCCATGACGCCCCTTTTCCTGACTTTAGTTCAGAGGCGAGGAATTTAATCCCTGAAACGGCCCAGACTCACACCAGTGGGGAGTGGCGTCACGCGAACTCACGCCCTGGGAGTGGGATCGCGGGGGAGCAGCAGACCCTGCAGGAGCAGCAGCGCCGTGTCCGTGAGCCGTCGCGTCTCGCCCTCAGAGTGACTGGGCCTCTCTCCCGTAGGCGCTGGTAGCTGAGCAAGAGAGCAAGGACAGCGGGGGCGCGGCTGTGGCCGAGCAGGTGCTCAGCATCATGGAGATCATTCTGGATGAGTCCAATGCTGAGCCCCTGAGCGAAGACAAGGTGAGCGGGGCCCAGGCCCTCCCATCTGCGGTCACGCTGGAGGCTGCACTGTTCACTGCCGGGGCTGAGAGGAAGATGATTATGGTGTGTTTGACTCCCTGAGATGGTGACCAGAACCATCCCAGCCACCGAGGGATACCCAGGCACTCAGCTACATCGGCTGTTCTGCAGCACGTGCTGGGCAGCTCTGGGCCTTCCTGGGATGGCTGCGACGGGCCAGACAGACGGCCGCAGCTGCCGAAGTCCTGACCCAGTTAACGGCCATCTGCTTTTCTGCTGCAGGGCAATCTCCTGCTGACGGGTGACAAAGACCAACTCGTGATGCTCTTGGACCAGATCAATAGCACCTTTGTTCGCTCCAACCCCAGTGTCCTCCAGGGCTTGCTTCGCATCATCCCGTACCTTTCCTTTGGAGAGGTGGAGAAAATGCAAATCTTGGTGGAGCGGTTCAAACCATACTGCAGCTTTGACAAGTACGTTGCTGGGATTTCATATAGACAAATGGTCCCCACAAAAACTCTGGACTGTTTTGTGAGAAGGAAGAAGAGTGTGTATGCCTGAAGGGGTTCAAATCGTAGAGCCAGTGATGAAGATACTGTGCTAAGTTGCTTGGCAGAGGTAGTGAAGTGGGGGTGCGTGGCAAAATGGAGGGAGTCACCTGCCAGAGCGTGGCCATGCGGGGGAGCTGGGGACGTGGCAGATAGCAGAGCATGGCAGAGGGGCTCTGTTGTCTGGGGAGTTTAGGCGTGGCCCTGGAGGCAGCTGACGATTGTCGCAAGAGAATGACAGGATCAACGTAGGTTCTCCTCCATTCGCGCTCAGACTCTGCCTTTCCCTAGGTATGATGAAGACCACAGTGGTGATGATAAAGTGTTCCTGGACTGCTTCTGTAAAATAGCAGCTGGCATCAAGAACAACAGCAATGGGCATCAGCTGAAGGATCTGATTCTCCAGAAGGGAATCACCCAGAGTGCACTTGACTACATGAAAAAGCACATTCCCAGTGCCAAGAAGTAAGCAGTGCCGTCAGAGGGGCTCCTCCCGCCTCCGTCGTCTTGGCTTCACTGTTCGCCGCCGTCATCCTCAGTGTCTCCCTCCCAGCCGATGACTCGGCCTGCAGAGTTCTTGGGGGCTGGGATTTCTGTTTACTCATTGCCATCTGACTTCTCAGCTGAGCTGAGTGGTCCTTTGCGATCCTTCCTGGTACATTGGGAGGGTCATGTTTAAACAAGCCAGAATCAGCAGCTCGTTTCCAGGTAACTTTGCCTCTCTGGCCTGCTGATAAGCCTTCCTTTGCTTTGCAGCTTGGATGCAGACGTCTGGAAAAAGTTTTTGTCTCGTCCAGCCCTGCCATTTATCTTGAGACTTCTTCGAGGACTGGCCATCCAGCACCCTGCCACCCAGGTGCGTGTCAGCTGCGCGGACCCGCTCTGGAGACAACGTGTGTGTGTGTGTGTGCGCCCCCCCCCCCGCCCCCCTGCAGTGTGTGCAGCTGCCATGTACTTGGTTCTTGTCTCCTACAACCAAGTGAAGAGAATCACCTTGCTTAGCTTTGAGCCATGACTTGCTCCCGTCTATAAGCCTTCTGTCTGGAGAAGAAGGGACTTAGCGGTCATCTTGTTGCTCTCATGTAGAGGCGATTACGTTCTATTTGTGATTTTCTCATTCTACTCATTTTTTCCTGGAGGCTTTATTATCTCACAGGTCAGCCAAGCAGCAGTTGAGCCGTGAGGGTGTGGCAGGCTGGCTAAGCAAAGTGTATACGTTAGTTTGACTTCTGGCCGTGGTCACTGGCATGTTTGTGATGCCATCACTGCCATTTTCTGCTCTGCTCCAGGCAGCTGAGAGCTCTGTGCTCAGAGGACCCACCCATTCCTCGCTGTGCTCGCCTGCTCCCCTTCCCTTGGCTGGGGCCTCTGCTTCCTTCTCACATTCTAACCGGCCTAGACAGGTCACCAGACAGGGTGTATTTTTTTTTTTTTCTTTCTTTTTTAAGATTTATTTATTTGTGCCTACAGAACTGGGTACAGGCCAGAGGTGCAGGGGCAGTGAGATTCACCAGAGACAGAGTGGGGAGCAGAACAGGCAGATCGTGGAAGTACACTGCTGAGGAGGGCAGTGGGCGGGTCAGGAGAGGTCTGCTGCGCCATGTGGATCACCTCCCAGGGCTGGGATTGAACTCATACGGAAGTGGCTTTAGCTTCTTAGTGCTGTGCTTTAACCCACTGTGCCACCAGGGAGGGCCCAGCAGGTGTTTTTTAAATTAAACTTTGAGGTAACTACAGGTTCACATACAGTTGTTAAGGATACTATAGGGACACTGTGTCGCCCACTGCCCAGTTTCTCCTCTGCAAACATCTGGGGCCTGCCACATACCTGGTGCTGTATCGGGCGGCAGGGACGCTGGACACGAAGAAGGCAGTCACAGCCTGTGGGGCTTACTTTCCTGTGGGGGTGACAGTCACATGGAATGAACACTGCACAGTGAGCCCAGCGAAATGTGGGGGGGGTGGGGCTTCACAAGGGGATGTGGCATCTACAGAGGCTTAGAGGCATAGCTTAAGGTACTCCAGGGGTTGTTGGAGGTGAGCTGTAGCAAGAGCTGACGGTGGAGACATAACGCTGGTCCAGATCACATTCTCTGAGGAGACGAGCAGATTTTCAGCTGAGAACAATGCCTCTGGCCACGTGGTAGAGGGTGAGTCAGAAGAGGTGACATTGGAAAAACAGTTGGGAAGCTTTTGTCATAACCTGGTGAGGGGCGATCGCAGCCAGGACCAGGAAGTGACGTGGACAGTGGCTGGATTCCACAGAGACATACGAGGTAGAGTAAATGGGCCATGGGATTTGGACTGAACCGGGGTGGGGTGCACATAGGCACAGAGCAAACACCCGATTGTTGAGCTTGGGGTGCTGGGGAACAGTGCACTAGGCAGTCGCACTATGGCTTTTAGCATTTTGGAGCGTGAGACATGAGGTAACATGTAATTTTGTTGAGGTACAGATTTGGGGCGTACCTGCTATGAGAGTGGATTTATGAGCTAATGAGTGATCTGAGGTGAGTGCTGAGCTTTCGCGTTGCAGGCTGGCACTGTTGTCCTCGGTTTATTGTCAGCTGCACAGCGATTGTCCTCAGTTCACTTGTGCTGGAGGGGTGGGGACGCCAGTGACGCGGAGCACTTTCCCCGAGCTTCCTGCCTCAGCGTTCTCAGCTTCCCGCACCCTGTTGAATGCGACTGCGGAGCCGTGACCACCAGTGGCTTCAAGCACAGGGTTTCTTGTTCTTGTCTGCTTTATGGAGGATTTTCTTAGCCCACCTCAACTTGTAGTCACACTGCTGGTGTCCCTGGATAAGCAAAGTCTGCGCTTGGGTTTGCTAGGCCCAGAGAGGGAACATCCCTGGATGCAGAACTTCGCTCAGCCCCTGTGAATGTCAGGGGCTGCTGTGGCGTCTTACCCGAGCTCCTCTCGTTTTCACTGTGCTGAGTGCTTCACCTCGATGAATGATGTCCATCAGAACCCTCCCTGCAGCCCTGCCATCACCCCCATTTTACAGATAGGGATCCTGAAGCAGAGGACTGTAGTGATTGTTCAAGGTCAGAGCCAGAACTGAAGCCTCGTCCATTTGTCCAGATAGCTCAAAGTGTAGAATCAAAGGACCATGTTGAGACTGAGTGGGTGATGGGGGTGCCCCCAGCCCGTTGATGTTTCTGCACCCTCGAGCCCTGGGGAGGGCTTGCCCGCCTGGCCGTAGCATGCGCCTCTGCTCTCATGGCAGGTTCTGATAGGAACAGACTCCATCACAAACCTGCACAAGCTGGAGCAGGTGTCCAGCGACGAGGGCATCGGGACTCTGGCGGAGAACCTGCTGGAGGCACTGCGGGAGCACGCCGAGGTGAACAAGAAGATCGACGCAGCCCGCAGGGAGACCCGGGCGGAGAAGAAACGCATGGCCATGGCGATGCGGCAGAAGGCGCTGGGCACCCTGGGCATGACGGTGAGACCACCCCTGCAACCTGGGCTCAGTGTGACAGCGCCGCGGCACCCTCAGCGCGCCCCCCACACGCTGCGAGGGCCGACCTCAAAGGGAAAAGCGGTGGCCAGCTGAGGCTCTACACTGCGCCCTCCAGGTGGGGCTGTTCTCTCTCTGCCGTGTGGGTGAGACGCTTGTGAGATGATGTCACAGGGTAAGAACAGTAAAAATGGCAGTAATAACCAAAGTTTAGTCAGGATTTGCTCTGCCGGGTGCTGTGCTTAGGCATCTTGTCAGGTTTTATCAAAATCTATGGTTCCATGAGGTTACTATTATATATCCACTTTTCAGGTAAACTGAGACTGGAGTCACTGAGCCAAGGTGCATAACTAATAAGTGGTTGACAGGATTTTGAACCCAGGTCTGCGTGATCTGAGGCTCCACTCTTAGCACTGTCACCACCAAGGAGGAGGCAAAGCCCCATGGTCTTCTCCAGACCAGCAAGTGGGTGTCGGCCGTGTTAGGACTCCCATGGGGACAGTAAATAAGCCTGTGCAGCAGCCCTGAGCATCTGGGCCTGGAAAGGAGGCTTTTTGGGCAAGTGGTAACTTGGCCAGGGTCTCAGCCAGTTGGCCCCAGCTGGCTGGTTTCACCTGCTGCGGTGGTTCTAGTGGGAGAAGAGAGGAATCTGTGCCTCCACCCTCCATAGAAGCCCACTCAGAGACTCCGTTTTCCCTACAGCAGCCCTCGCAGCGGTGGGTCAGCCTCCTCATGCTGGCCTTAAGCTGGGGGAAGGGCATGGACTCTCCAACCGATGTGCCCCTGGTTTTCCCCACAGACAAATGAGAAGGGCCAGGTTGTGACCAAGACGGCGCTCCTGAAGCAGATGGAGGAGCTGATCGAGGAGCCGGGCCTCACGTGCTGCATCTGCAGGGAGGGCTACAAGTTCCAGGTACGGCGCGCTCCGGCACACCCGCGCAGCAGGCCTCTGTTCTCAGGCCTGCGCCTCGGCCAGCTGTCCTCTTCGAAGGCATGAAAGCAGACTGGTCTGAACATTAGTGGTCGTCATGTTCGTCAGCTTCGATGTCTACCTCCGCTTGGGTGCCTTCTCTGTGCTAGGCTTCATGCCAGGAGCTTATGAAAATTTATTTCCTTAACCTTAAAAAGCCCCAATTTATGAATGAGAAAACAGGTCATGTGACAGAGTCAGAACCCTGGTCGGGCCCGTGCTGCTGCCTCCTGGGAGAAGAGCAGACCCTTGCTTCCCAGGGCCTGCGGGCAGGCCCGTGGCTCTCCTGGCAGCCTGAGCTGCCCCTCCCTCCCCAGCACTTGGCGAGTTGCAGCCTTCAGACTCCTGTTGCCACAGCCCCCTTGGGGCTGCCAGACAAGTTTGGGACACAAGAGACTTGTCACAGACACACTCCCCTCTTCGTTTTCAGATAAAGGAGGCAAAAAAAAGTGACAGTTCAGCCTTACATGTTTGCCTTTGTGTCTGCATGCCATCTGCCTGATTTTGGGTGCTTCTCATTTCTTTAGGGCTGTGCCCAGCCCAGTGCTGAGGAAAGAGACTGAGGTGCTGACCACCACCCACTCCCTGGACTCGTCCTCCCTAGGAAGGCAGCTGCTTGGGCCCCTCCACTCTGCTTCCCGCCTCCAGAGCTGCCTTCCCTCACCTCTGCTGTTTTGTTGACTTTGCAGCCCACGAAGGTCCTGGGCATTTATACCTTCACCAAGCGAGTGGCCTTGGAGGAGATGGAGAATAAGCCCCGGAAACAGCAGGGCTACAGCACCGTGTCCCATTTCAACATCGTGCACTACGACTGCCACTTGGCCGCCGTCAGGTAGGCCCTCGCAGTGGCTCTGCCCCAGACTTCGCCCTCACGGCTGCTGCCGCTACCTGGTTTGGAGGTAGCAGGCCCCAACCCTGTGATGTGAAGGCTGCTGCTCAGGCTCTGGGCAGCGGGGCTTGTGCTGCCCTCCAGCTTGCCAGGCCTTTGGCCCAGGCTGACGAAAGCAGCCTTGCTTCCGAGATGCGTGAAGCTGGCTTTCACCAAGGCGAGGTTGCAAAAGGCTCAGGTCCGTTCGAGTCTGGAGCTTTGGCTTCCTTTCTCCTCCGCACCCACACGCCCAAGTGCCTGACTGCTACGGTCATTCTAGCAGTCACTCGTCCATGCTCTCCTCCCAATCTAGGCTGGCTCGAGGCCGGGAAGAGTGGGAAAGTGCCGCCCTCCAGAACGCCAACACTAAGTGCAATGGGCTCCTTCCAGTCTGGGGGCCCCACGTCCCTGAGTCGGCTTTTGCCACTTGCTTGGCAAGGTGAGTGTGGGCACTTGCATGTTGGGAGAGAGGGTTCGCAGGAGTAGGGAGAGATCAGCTTAGCCCAGCCGTAGCGACACCATTTCCTGTCATCTTTATCGGAGTCTGTGACTTGCTCTCTGCTTGTTCTTTGCTTGCTGCCAGGGAGCCGCCCCGAGCGGAGAGGAGCCAACACTGTTGGTGTGTGGCGCCCCACTTGAGACGAGCTGTCGCTCTGTCCTTTGTTCCTCTTAGGACAGGAGATGGGCCTCTGGCTTTTCCAGAGTACACTGTCCATCTCTGCCCTGAGGTTGAAGCAAGAACCGTAACTTGGGAGTGTAGGAGATTTTGGGCTCCTTTCGAAGTCTCCTTGTCCTGAACTCCAGGTTCCGGTAGCTGCAGCTTCTGGTAGGCCCCTGCCTCAACTGAAGCGAGGAGGGGGTGGCCCACCCTCAGCCCCCAAAGCTCAGAGTAAAAGGGGCTCACGTAACGCAGGTCCTGCAGCGGCCGCGATGGCAGTCCTCACACCTCTGGTGCTGGCCGTGAGGAGATGCACACCTTCTGCAGAGGGGGAGACCGAGGCACAGAAAGGTGCCCCTTGGAGGCCTCGCCAGTCATGAGGCATGGAAACAGTTGGTGGTGACACACGCTGACAGAGGAAAAAACTTTGTGGAGCTTCCCATACTTCCTTATGGGTAGCTCACCTGGTCAGAATGGATGTTCGCCTTTTTTCCCCGGACTGTGCTCCCAGATATGGCCACAGTACAGTCTGTGACTTCAGTCCATGAGGAAATGGACCCCACCCTCCCCCACCCCCCAGGCAGCAGGTTCTCCTCAGTGCTTGAGGGGCACCACCCACTCCCAGCAGACCCGGAACGCCCGCTGCTCCTGTCTCCTGCAGGCCCAGCCCTGCACTCGCTCTTCCTTCCGTCCTTGTGTCGGGCTGGGTGCCTTTCGCAGCTGTCAGGCAAGGGGTCGCCGGGGGTTTCCAGACCGGGATTCACCAGGAAACGTATCCATTTCAGACGCGTCTGCTTCTCCCCAGGCACAACACTTACCTCCAGGAGTGTACGGGCCAGCGGGAGCCCACGTACCAGCTCAACATCCATGACATCAAGCTGCTTTTCCTGCGCTTCGCCATGGAGCAGTCGTTCAGCGCGGACACCGGCGGGGGTGGCCGGGAGAGCAACATCCACCTGATCCCATACATCGTTCACACTGTGCTTTACGTCCTGAACACGTCAGTATCGCGCCTCGCTCCTACGTGCCCTGCACAGGGGTCTCCTCCTCCTCCATGTCCACCCTCGTTAGTGCCAGAGCCGGTGCCTGGCCTCAGCCCGTCCCACCGACTGCGGCTTTTTAGCACTACACTGAGTAAAGAAGTGGGCATGGCTTCCTGCCCACTCCCGCCGTGGGACGGGGCTGCCTCCTGGGACTGACCTTCAGCCCAGTGGGAAGCAGGCTGTGGAGGAGCCAGACCAAGAAGCTTCTGTCTAGGAGTGAAGCTTCTGGCAAGTGAGGAGAAAGGGGCAGTGCAGGATTTTCCGGGAAAGCCAGTGGGAAGGAGGTAGCCAGGAGCGAAGAGATGAGTCTTCTGCTGTATGTGAGTTTGGGAGCGTGAGCTTGGTACGCGGAAGTGTGATTTGGGAGAAGAGCTCAGGGGTAGAGGACAATATCTTGGCTCCGCCCAGAGTTTAAAAGCAAGTGAAGTGACGGAGAGCACATTAGCTCTTAGATACGACGTAAAGGGCTCATACTTTCGGCCCCACCTCCTTCAAGAGTCAGTTCCTTTGGGCAGAGTTGCCAGGCTGGTGAGAGGCTGTGCCGTTCTACCCACGGCACCTGCCGTTCAGAGTGGGCAGCAGGACGACTGTGTCTTGTCTCTTCTGGTCTCCCCAGCAGTGCTGTTTTCTCCTGCCCTCCCATCTCCTCGTGAGATGCAGGCTGGCCTCAAGACCACACACTTCCTGTTAAAAGCTGCCCAGACAGACAGAGCACATTACATCATCAGCCACCATGTGTAGACTGTCCGGCTGTGCTTCAGGCCTGAACAGTACTGCTCACCAGTGCCCTGGGCCTCTCACCGGGCCTGTGCTTTTGCAGAGACTTGTCTCTGCTGGCAGCTGTGAGGTAGAATGAGCTGTTCCTTTGTCCAAGGAGGCCAGCAGACCAGAGAGGGAGCCTGATCTACCCAGCAGAAGGGAGTGATGACAGGTGTCCCTGGACTCCTTCCAGGGGTTGATAAAGCATGCCCAGCGCCTTGGTTGAAGAGGGCGCTGGCTGTGTCATGGTCATCCCTGTCAGTGCAGGGCCCTGCTGGGAGCTTCCCAGCGCTAGTGGCTGCCCCAGCCAGCTCTCACTGGTGTGTGGCTGCGGGGCCTGCCTATGTCATGACAATGTGTGTGAGGCAGGTATGTCACCAGCTGAGCCAGAGCAGAGTTGCGCAGGTCCTGCCATGGCAGACACTGTGGAATCCCAGTTCTGGAAAGTCGAGTCTATCTACCTGTGCCACCCAGGCCCACTCTTCAGGAAGCAGAAGGAAGCAGCTGTCTGCACCACTCCGCCTGGTTTCCCACAGCTCAGCATTTGGCTGTGCTTCTACTGGCTGGCGGCTCTGATTCTGGTGGCTGCCCGTGTTTTCTCTCCCCACAAGAGCAGGCTTGGGGCCTGGGGTACTCTAGCTTGACCGTGGTCTGGTTTAGAAGGAGAGAGTGTAGCTGGAACTGGAGGGTCGGGAGGGACTCTGAGTGCTGATTCAGAGGCCACCGGCAGAACTTCCTCGTGGCAGGAAGATGGAGAGTTAATGATGGAGGCCATGGAGCTAGCTGCCTGGGCTCAGGGCCCAGTTCTTTCTTTCAGTCGTTAGGGGTAAAACATTTTCCTAGTTCTGTAGTTTCCTCTTCAGAGACACTGGGGTCGGTAGTATCTGTGTCCTAAGGTTGCTGTGGGGGGGGGGCGAGGCACTTCACAGTGTAAGAGCGCTCCATACTTTTACGCTGGCGCCTGGTGTTGAAAGTGGCTGGGTGTCATTGCCATCACAGTTTAGGTGAGAGGGAGAGTGAACAGTGTTTGCCTGGTGAAGCCGCCCTAGTGAAGCTCGGGAGAGGGCGCAGATTTGTAGGAAAACAAACCAGGAAAACCTAGAAGGGGAACCGGAGGCAAGTGTTGTGCACCCCACTTGGCTGTAGTGAGACCGCACAGAGTCGGGCCAGTTTAGGCCGCCTGTGTTCACCTTGGCTCCGTTCCTGGGTAGGCTTTGGGCTTGTCGTTTCACTTCTCAGGGCTTCCATAGTTAGACACTTGGTCGGTAGAGTGACTGTGACTGTGAATGTGCCCAACACACACCAGTGTTCAGGAGGTGGAGGCTATTGGGAATTGGGTCAAGCTGAGGCAGGAGAGGGCCTCAAGGAAGATGCCATAAGGAAACAGGGAGGTAGTGGGGTGACCCAGGTGTCCGGGAAACTTTTGAAGGAAGATAAAGTGAGCAGACCTCCCCGACCCCCTCCCCTTGCTGTAGGGGCCGGGGCCTGCTTCCACCGTGGGTTCACCACACCCTTTTTGTTTCAGAACCCGAGCAACCTCCCGTGAGGAAAAGAACCTCCAGGGTTTTCTGGAGCAGCCCAAGGAGAAGTGGGTGGAGAGTGCCTTTGAAGTGGATGGGCCCCACTATTTCACGGTCCTGGCCCTCCACATCCTTCCCCCCGAGAAGTGGAGAACCATACGTGTGGAAATCTTGCGGAGGCTGCTGGTGACCTCTCATGCCCGGGCCGTGGCTCCAGGGGGAGCTGCCAGGTCAGTACTTCCGGAACCTCCTCCTGGGCTGCCCGAGCCTGTGTGGCTATTCCTATATCCCAGTGTGGAGAGGCTGCCTCCTGAGGGGGTGATTGGCGCTGACCCCTCTCAGCCTGTGCTGGTGAGCCAGGCCACGGCAGGAGTCGTGCCTGGCTACAGACGAGGACCAGGCTCACCTCTGCGGGCCCAGAGACCTCTGCGGGCCCAGAGAAGCCTGGTGGGCCCAGCGGCGCAGGTCGCTGAGGTCACCGCCAACCAGGGGCTCAGATGGAGCCAGTCCCGGCTTGCTGGGCTGGGCACACTCCAGGAGCTGCCGCGTGGCTGTGACTGGGGGTTTTCTCTCTGAGGCTGGAAAGCTCACTGTTGCCCCCACAGCCACATTTCTGTCCTGCCCGCCCATGCCCCATGAGCCTTTCTGCGCCATGAGCTCCTCTGTCCACGTGTGTCCACGTGGACCCTCCACCCCCACCCCACCCTGAGAAGGGCTCGTGCTGCAGGAGGAGCAGGGCCAGTTTTTAGGACCTGTGCTGAGACTGGGGTGGGACGGGGGTTGGGGGCCTTGAAGAAGTTGGCCAACAGAGCAGGAGCCTTCCTGCCCCTGACATTGCAGAGTGAAATATAGCAGGTGCCTCAATTGGCACATCTGGCGCCCTTACCACCCTCAGCCCATTCGTGACGCCTTGCTGGTGGGTGGGCTCCTGTGCCCCCAGATTCATGGGCTTGGGGCTCTGCTGTTGAGTCCAGCCTGGACCAGCTTCGCGTGGAGGAGGGAATTCTATCAGAGCCCTGCCTGCACCATGCACATTCCACATGTAGCTCTTGCACTGTTTACCGCGTCCAAAGCGTAAAATCCGACACAGTGTAGAGGTGCTGCGTGGCCAGCCAGGCGAGCCTGCGTCTGTGCCAAGGCGTAGATGCTCCATGACAAGGGTTCGTCTGGCCTTTCCTCGTTACAGATGTGAGGGCAGTTTGCAGGTAAAACTTGTGGGTGGTGGGTGGTGGACACCGAAGTGAGCACTGGTGTGCCCTCCCTGCGGTGGGAGACATCGATTTCAGAGGCTCTGCTGGTGTCGTCACTGCTGCCCACTTCTGTCACTGCTGCCAGCCCCTGGCTGTTGGTACATGGGCCCCGGTGTGCCAGGGCCCTGCTGGGCTTTCATCCTGATCTGAATCACTGGATTAAGGAGAGATAATACTGGTTAGCAATCAAGGGGTGTGGCGAGCGGCTCGGGATTACCCCAGGATTTAGGAGGTGTTGAGGTGGTTGTGTCTTCCATCACTGGCCTGCCTCTTGCTCAACACCAGTTTTCCACCAGCTTGCTGTTTTTAATGCAGCGTGTGTTGGTAAACGATTGTTTGACTGGTTTAGTCTGCTGACTGTTAGCAAAAACTCTCCAGGGAGAATGTAAAGGCTCAAGTGGTGCTTTTTCCTGACCTCACTCAGGAGCTTCTGTGGGGCATCATCCTGCAGCCGTGGGCCTCCGGGCATGTCCTTCTGCCAGTAGCCTGGGGTGACCATGTTGCCACTGATGTCTCCCCACCCCCATTTTGCTTCCCCCTGGTTTCAAAGAGGGTCAGTGCTAAAGACAAATTGTGAAAATGTTCTCATTAGTAAATGAACTTTGTGGATCTGGCGGCTTCGGAAGTCCTTGTTCATGGCTGCTTTCTCCACGGAGATGGCTAAGCACCAGGACTGGTGACGGCAGCTGGCCCTGCCTCTTCCTTGCTCCCAGGGGCTTTGCTCTGTCTATGTGTCTTCTGGCGGCTTGGTAAACATGGAATTTGATTTCTCCTCAGGCTGACAGACAAGGCTGTGAGGGACTACTCTGCTTACCGCTCTTCTCTTCTCTTTTGGGCCCTCGTCGATCTCATTTACAACATGTTTAAGGTAAGGGAGCTGGGGGCCGTCTCCGCAGGCCTGCCCCAGAAGAGCCCGCACCTGGAGGTAGCTCAGACCTGCCCGGCGAGGTGCATCTGCAGCAGGCGTGCTGGCTTCGGGCCTGGGGCCCGCTGCAGGCCCACTTCTGTGGGAAACTCTCCCCACCGCCGGTCCCCTTTGTTTACTCTCGACCCTGCTCTTTGGAGACACTCACCTGGCCTACTGCTTTCCGGCCGTAATAGGATAGTTTCTGGCTTGGGGGTTCAAGGTTTTGGGGTGGTTCTTGTACCAGCTGAACGAAGCAGCTCGACTGCAGCATGCCACCGTGCTTCCTCTTTGGGAAACGTAGGTGTGTGGTGTCGGGCTGAGAGGATGCAGGCGCTCGCTGCAGCTTGTGGAGTCCAGAGACACGGTGCCTAACACGGGCCTGTGTGAGGGGTGAAGTGAAGTTTTGTTGTTCCCGGAAGTAAAACACATGTTCCAAGGAAAACTGATGTCAGTGGGGGCGCTCCCGTCTCCATGTACGGAAACGTCCTGAGTTACGGCCCAAGACAGGCGTTAGGTAACCCACCCTGGCCGGTCTCCTGTTGGTTCTTGTAGAAGGTGCCTACCAGCAACACGGAGGGCGGCTGGTCCTGCTCTCTCGCGGAGTACATCCGCCACAACGACATGCCCATCTATGAAGCTGCTGACCGAGCCCTGAAGACCTTCCAGGAGGAGTTCATGCCGGTGGAGACCTTCTCCGAGTTCCTCGACGTGGCCGGTCAGTGTCGAGGTTTTATCTTTCAGAGATTGGCAGCCTTAGAGGGCCACCGTTATCCTTCACCTTCACACGGCAGCCGTGGGCCTCCACTGGGAGAGCTGGGAGGGATGTGTGAGTAGCAGGCCGCGCGCTGGCCCAGGAGCGACGGCAGCCGGTGGCCGTGTGTGCTTCCTGCGCCGGCGCTGTGCAGCCCTTGTTTCCCGTTGGATTTCCCGTTGCGGGGAAACCCCGTGTGAGTCTGGCCTCCCCCGCCCCCGTTTATAGATGATGACTGAGGTTTTGAAGACAGGAGAGTCTCCAGCAGAACTGCTGAAGCCCCTGTTTGTTGCCTAGTGTTCTGTGACCTTTTGGAGAATCACCTGGAGCTTATCTGTTTTCTGTTTTCCTCTTGGGGGCTGAGACCTCTGTTGTCACAGCTGCCCTAGGGAGATGTGAATGCTTTCAGCTGATTGATTCCTGGAAAAATGGTAAACACAAAACAGCCTCTGCCATGGTAAAATAGGCAGTGCTTTGATCTGGGTCATGGGAGGCCTCGGCCCGTGTGGTTCTTACACTGCAGGCTGGTCGCCCTGACTGCAAACATATCCACTGTGCATTTCATTAGCAAGGTCAGGTGATGGCAGGGAGGTGACTTGGTCCACTCACCAGAGCGGAGTTTGGGCCCTTGGCCCTCGCGTGCGTGGCTGCCTTTCCCCTAATGCTCAATGTGGGGATTTTGTACAGTGTAAAGAAGCAGGAAAAAACTGCTCACTAGATCCCACTATCAAGCAAAAGCCTCTTCCCTTTGTTCTTTATCTTCTGGGAGCTTCTCTCAGAGGTCTGAGTGATGCTCGGTGTGAATCCCTTTCCTCTACCTCCTCACCAACTGGTGGAGTTTCCTGGAAGCTTGGGTTTTCCTGTTCGGCGGTCCTTTGCAGGTCTTGGTGGCAGCCATACACTGGGCTGGGCCTTTGGCGACGGGTGTCTCACTGCCCATACCTGGTGGGCGGGAATGGCCGCTGTTCACTCAGTCTCTTGCTGACCTCACTCACTCACTACTGCTCTGTGGGTGTCTGTCGGATGTCCTGTCGGCCGGTGACCTGGTTCCTGAGCAAGCGTCTGGCCTCCAGTCCTATGAGGCTGAACAAAGGCAGTCCGAGAAGGAGAAGGTGGCAGGCAGGAGGCAGGGGCTGGCCTCCCTTTGGGGCTCTGTGTCAGCATCCCCGCCTGTAGCAGGGAAGGGTGAGAGCCATCAGGCAGGGATCCTCCCAGGTCAGGTGTTTACAGCATGACTTTATTACTTTGTTTAAGCTGTTAGAAAATTCCAGAACACCAGACACACCCTATTCAACTGCGAGGAACAAGAACATCTTCCAAAACCAACAAGAGTGTGTCTGCGCATTTCCCCGTTAGCACAGGCGCGGGCTGTGCCTTCGCTGCTTCCGGCGTCCGGCGGGCTTAGCGGCTCCACTGTGCTCGTGTGCGCCGAGCACCTGACCCCGACCCAGGACTCATCCCAGCTGACGGCAGAGGAGGGAGCTCCTGAGCCTGGGCCGAGTCCCGTTGCTCCTCCCAGCCTCGAAGCCCCCCGCTCCCCACGCAGTCTCGGGAGACACTTCGGTGCCACCGGCGTGCCCAAGCCCCGGCAGCAGTGCCATGCTGGCGCCTGCGCCGTGCGTCTGCTCCAGACCGTCTCCAGCCTGCCGGCTGCTGCGGCTGAGCCTGCAGGAATGGGGTGGGGCCGCGTGACGGGGGGCTGGGCGCTGCTTGGGCCTGCGCCTCACCAACCTCTGCCTGTTTTCCAGGTCTGTTATCAGAAATCACGGACCCAGAGAGCTTCCTGAAGGACCTGTTGAACTCAGTCCCCTGACCTCACACAGGCGCAGCTGGCGGAGAGTGAAGCTGGCCGCCCCCTCCTGTGTCCTGCCCTCCTGTGCGTCCGTCTCCCCACGTGGGGTGCTGCCACATTACTCTTCCCTCCTCCCTCCCTCGGTTTTTCTCGGAGTGGCTTGGGGTTTTTAGGCTTCCTGTTTTCTCTCGTGTGTGTGTGTGGCGCGCTATGACATCTCTGTGACCCGGGCCATCGGAGGACCTGTACGCGCCTCGGAGCCGTGCGCTGTCCTTGGTCACTGAATACTTGGGTGTGCGCATCTTGAGAAATAAATGGATGACTCAATACCCGCTGAAAAGGAAGGTGTGGCCACTGCTTGGACATCTGCGGTTCGGTGGTTCTGGCCGAGTGCTTCTCGGAGGGCACGCGTGCAGCCCAGGAAGACGTGTCTCGGGCCGCTGCCTGGGCCCGCTCGGCTCAGACGGAGCCTGTCTGTCCTGCGCCCGCCAGTTGGGGCGACTGATCTTTCCTAAACAAAACCCTTGGTTTCTCTTCACTGTTTTGGCCTCATAGCTGAAACCCAAAAGGCCTGTACAACTCTGAGCCTCACGTCTTCAACTGAAGGCAGGCATGGGGGCAGGACTCCAGCTTTTCTGTGACAGAGGCACTCACTGTTCCCCTCGGGCTGGGCTTGGGGCCCCGAGTGACTCGGGCTGCCATGGTGAAGTGGGTCTGGCGCACATAGAGGAGCCAGAGTAGCTGTGCGCCTCCTCACGCCTGGCCTGCCTGTGCCGTGGTCGCTGGGCCCTGTGGCCCCGTGAGAGGGCTGTGAGCCGGTGTCGGGAGGCGCTGTGGCTGCTGCCTTAGCGACCCCAGCGCTGGGGCCTAGAGGCGCACGTGTGCTCCCGGAGACGGCGAGGTTTCTGAGGGACTGATTGGCTCTAGGGAGGGAGCTTCGCTGGCTCCCACAGTGTCCTCGCCTGTAATGTGGGGTGTTAGAACCTGCAGGTAAGGTGTTGGCACCTTGAGAATTGAGGTCACTTGAGAATTTGCCTGCCACGAAGTGGCACAGGGGCCACTCTGTTAACAAATTTGTTCCCGTCTGTGGAAGTATGCCTTTCTTTTCAGTGACGCTCCATGCCCAGGTGGAGGAGGACAGAGGACCTTGGTCTTTGGGACACTGCTCACTGAACACAGCACGTCCATCCCCTGTCCGTGTCTCCTGTCCCCCAAAGGCCGTCTGGGCACATGTCAGCTGGAGCTGCTGTCACGTAACATGCTGGCAGGCAGCGGATGGGAGCCGCTTCACCTGGGACGGCAGAGCAGAAGGGAGGGTGGGGGAAGGTGCCAGTGTAAACAGTCAGGTTACACCCCTGCTGGGTGTCGGCCTGCTGTTCCGTGTGGCACGTCTGCAGGCTGAGCCGTCTATAGCGTCACCTTAGGCGCCGAGTGTGGCCGTGGCCGTGGCGTCTGCAGAGCTGGCACTGCTGTGCTCCGCGCACGGCGCTCTCTTCTTGTCTGCTCTTTGTTTTTTATTTCTTGTGGAAGCCTCTCAGAGTTTTGCCTCAGGCCCAATACATCAAGCTGCCTGTTTTCCCTGTCACAGCTTCTGGTGTCTACATGGTGGCCCTGGGGGTCTGTGGTAGGTCCTGCCTGGACTGTGCTTTTGGCAGTAGTGGCAGCTGCTTGAGGGAGAGAAGTCTGCCTCCCACCCTGTCACCCCAGAGCCCCGCAGACTGGCTGTACTATGATGGCTGCCGTCCTTCAGCCCTGAAGCCTGCCTTCAGCAGTGAAGTTAGAGGGGCGGCAGCACCTTCCTTCTAGAAAGCTGAAGCCTCTGGCGTGCTCATATGCTCATGGGGTCTGCATCTCTCCTGGTGTCCAGCTTTCCCAGTTCAGTTTTGTGGGGGCTGAACGGGAGGCTGTGTAGGTCCAGGTGCTCTCCGTCACCAGCCCCACTCTGCTCCCCACCCGCCCCCCAGCTCCCAGCTGTGTATAGAGACACGGGGCTGCATCTAGTTCTCAGCGTCACAGCCCCAGCTAACTGCTCTTCCACACCTTCCACTGGAGCACTTGCTGGGGGAGGAGCTGGCCGGTGTGTGGACCCGAGTCGGCACTGGGCGCCATGGGCACAGCAGTGTCCTGGCCGTTAGTTGGCCGTGAAGGGTGACAGGGCGTAAAGGAGTGGAAGGTGGGGGGTGGAAGGTGGTGCCGGGGCCACGGGCCGTGGTGATGGGTGGGCCCCGACTGCCCGCCCCAGACTCGGCCCCACTGTTAACGGGGCCTGACAGCACAGGCCCGCAGGCTCCCGGGTCTGTTTTGACTCCTGGGCTCAGTGAGTGTTGCTTTGGCTGCGCCCTTGGCTAGCAAGGGAGAGTTCACTCCGCTTTCCCGGCCTCAAAAGAGCCTCATATCACCTCTGCGCCCTGACTCCTCAAGCCTGCAGAGCCCATGGTGCGTCCTGTGCCCTTGTTCACCCCTGAGGGTTGCTGATTTCCCTTCTCAAACTAGTTTCCGCGTGGCATTTCTAGCGGCGCCCATCCCATATCACCACAGCCTCCAGGCTGCACGTAGCAGGCCTCCCTGCTGGCCCCCGGCCTCATCTCCCTCCACCTGTCCCTCCACACCTCGCTGACCCCGCTCACGCGGCAGACTGCACAGGCCCCTCCCCCCCCAGCTGTTGGCAGGACCTGTTCCCTCGGAGGGCTCCGCTCCAGGGGCCCCAGCCTTGGGCCTGACTGGCGACCCCTGCTGCTCGCTCTGGGTAGCAAGCTGGATTAGCAGGCTCATGCACACCTGGTGTCCTGGCCTCACCCTGAGAGGGGCTGCTTTTCATTTACAGTCTCCAGGCTGTAATGCTGGTCTCAGCAAGGATTTGTGCCAGGGACGAGCTGCGTGTGGGACTCCATGTTGGGCACTCGCGATCCTAGGCAGCATTCTGGGGTGGTGGCGGATAGTCAGACCCAGGTTCTGGCCGCAGGCTGGGCTGGGTGCGCCCATAGGCACCTTCCTCCCGGCCCCTTTGCTGCTGCCACCAGAGGGACTGTTCTGAGGCCGGCTCGGGTTCAGACCCAGGTTGGGACCCCCAGCCCGGGCCTGTGGACCCTGCACTGTGCACTTTTCCTCGCCCTCCCCCTGCACCCCCTGGGGCCAGGCTTTGTCCAAAGCTAACTAATCTCCCAGGCTATAGCCATTAAGCTGGATTGTTCCCAGCAGCTGGACATTAGCAGACAAGGCAAATCCTGGAGCAAGGCCGGACCAAGTCCTCTCTCACCTCAGGACTGGTTATCGGGCAGTGGAGCGGCAGGACAGGCAGGCGCATAGGAGCCAGTCTCCCGGCGCCTGTTAGCAGCAGGTGCCGCACCCGCAGTGCCGCCTCCAGCCCCTCTGGGGGGCGGGGGGCGCCCCCGTCTGCCATCTCGGGCAGAGAGGCGGGGCCACTCGCCAGACAGGGGGCCGCATGGCGAGAGCAAGAGCTCTGGCGGGACGCGGCTCTGCCAGGCCTTGGGCGAGTCTCCTCACTGTCTGCGGGCGGGTTAGGTGAACTCGTGGGAGAAGGCTCCAGAGCCTGACAGCGCGGCCCAGTTCGCCTTGGCTGTGATTCCCAGCGTGTCGGCAGAGGAGTCATGCTTGCCCGAGACTGTTCAGGAGGCGCATCTCCCTCAGGAGGGCGACGCCACCAGCAAGCTCGGACTCGTGCGCACGCGCCGGCTCTCCACGGCGCACGGCCTGTGATGCCCCACCGCTCACTTCTGCTCTGCTGCTCTGCCCGGGGCGCTCCTTACCCGTCCCGTCTGTTACCCAATCTCGGAGTCGGGCCCAGGCTCGCGTGCTGCTGTCGTGCCCCTTGGCCGTCTGGCAGGCTGCCCACCGTGCTGGACCTCCCTCCAGCCTGCCGAGGGAAGCGCCCGCTGCCACTGGCCTTTTGGACTGGGCGGTGCCTGGCCTGCGCCTGCCTCTCCCCACTTCGAACTCGAGTGGGGCGCCCTGGCCCTTCACCCTAGGGCTGGGTCAGCAGGGCACAGAGCAGGAAGGACTTCCCTGAGCCTTTCTCCACATTCCAGACCAACAGAGTCCTGGGCGCTTAGTCTGAGGGGCACCCCAGGCCAGTCACCCCAAATGTGAAGAAATTTCCACATCAGGCCTGATGTTGACGAGGGAAGGCGGAAGAGATGGGCTTGGAGGAGGGGCCTGGAGGTGAGCTGTGCAGTGCCCGCGACGCGCCTCCATCCGCTGGCTCACCTGGCCACGCTGGGCACTCAGAGCTTGGGCACTGCCTACCCTGGCCCCTACCTGTCGCACCGATGACTTTCAGCCTCTGGAGGAGTCCCTGTGCTGCTGCCTAAGGAGCTTGTTGGGGCCTCTTAGGAGCCGGAGATGGAAGTGCCTAGGACACCTGGGCAAGAAACGTGCTGAGCTCACAACCAGCTCCCAGGACAGCGCATGCTTGCTGCTTCCTCCCACGGCCGTGTCCATGGCTCCCGGGCACTTGCTGCTCCTGGGCAGCTTCTCCCTGTCCCTCTGCCCCAGCACAGCGCTGCTGGTGGGGCCCTGCAGGAAGCCACCCTGGGTTTGCCCTAACACACTGGCCACTCTGGCCACCACGCAGTCACCACAGCCACAGTCACTGCCAGCAGAGCACCCTAGGCCAACACCTACAACCTTCACTTCTAACAGGAGAGACGGAGTTTGGCCAACAAAAACAAAAAATCAAAACGGGACAGGGATATACCTAAGTGGTGACAAGATGAAACCCTGGGGGGAACCTTAATAAAGCAGCGTAAACTAATGGAGATTCCAAATCAGTGGCCCTGACGGTGCTCACTGAACTCCAGGGAAGAATGGGTGAACTATGATGATGACAAAAAATGCAGGGCAAAGCTCCCCTCAAGATCATAGAACTAAATAAAATAGAGCTAAAAATTACAGCAGAGGGGTTCAACATCAGACAAGGTGAAGCAGCAGAATCAATGAGCTGGGATATAGGGGAGCAGGAAGCACCCAAATACACAGTAAGAAGAACTAAAGAAATGAAGGTGGCATAAGAGACATCAGGTAACCTCAAGAGGATTGACATTCACATGCTAGGGCCACCAGGAGTAGAGAGAATGAATTTCTTAAAAGAAACATCTAGATCTAGAAAGCTCACTGAGTTCCAAGTAAGATGAAACCCAAGAGACCCACACCAAGACACATTATAATTAAAATCACACAGTGAGATTCTAAAAGAACCAGGAATAAAACAGCATGTTATGGGCAAGGGGAACCCCCCCCAACGCGGGATCCCCCTCCCCAAGATTATCAGTGGATTTCTCAACAGAAACCCTTGGGACAAAATGGGATGGCAGATGTCAGGGAAAAAAACTTGCAACCAAGATACTCTACCCAGAAAGCTTCTTGTTCAGAATTGAAGGAGTAATAAAGAGCTTTTCATTCAAGCGAAAGCTAGAAGAACTCATCACTCCTAGGCCAGACTCGCAGGCACTTTCGTGAAAAGTTAGCCACAGAAGCAACAGGAGAGTTTCACTGACAAGCGTGGACATAATGCCTGTGGGTGGTGAATCATGGACAAAGTTAGCATGAACACGAAAAGCTAAAAGGAAAGCTGTGACACACTGGGAGAAGGTGTGTGCCACTCACAAATTTGATACGGGGTCAGAGTCCAGAAGACAGGACTCACACCACTGACAGTACAGCTGCCCGATGACAGACATGTCAAAGCTGAAGAGAACTGCGAAGAAGCGCACAGGCGGCCAGCAGGCGCAGGAAGAAGGGCGTATCAGGGAAGAGTGGCCTAGCCACACAGCCACCCCTCGCCCTGGGAGAATGACTTCCAAAAAAAAAAAAAAGGACGGGAACAGCAAGTGCTGGCGAGGAGGTGGAGATGAGGCAGCCGCTCCCCGCACACGGTTGGTGAAGAGTGGAAAATGGTATGGCGATGTCGCAGAGAATTAGGGCGAGAAACAGCTCCCCAGCCAGCTATGCCACGTCCGGGGTCGCGCCTGAGAGGAAGAGCAGTGGCCAGAGGAGAGACTCGGGCTCTGCGTTGCAGCAGTTTCCAGCAGTCGCAATGAGGCCACCGAGCCTCACTTGGCGAGCACACACAGCAGGACTCGCAGCCGCGACAGGGAGGGCCTGGTGAGAGTGAGAGTGGCCGCCGCTGCCCCTCAGCAGTGTCCTTCGTCCATCTGCCTGTTCTGCTCCCCACTCTGTCACGGGGAAGCCTCTCGCCGCCCCTGAGCCTCTGGCCTGTACCCCAGTTCTGTATGCACAAATAAATCTTTAAAAAAAAAAAGTAAGAGTGAGGCAGACGGGGAGAGACGCCATAGTACCTGGCGCCTGCGGAGGAGAGAGATGATCGACAGCAAACCCAAGCTGAGACTGTAGGAACAAAGTGGGGTTCACGTGGGGGAGGGCTGGGGCAGGAAGGGTTGGCTGGGGAGGTCAGTGTGAGGGTGCAGGGAGCCGGCACTTTCCGTGGTGAACAGGCTGCCGTTGGAACACGTCGGGTTTAATGCTGAAACCTAATTGCTTTACACTGATCTTCAGGACAAATTGAAAGAGAAGGAAGGAAATTATCTGCAGAGATAACCCCCCGCTG